CCTATTAGTGTGTAGCAAAATAGGGAGACCTCCCAGTTCAACCCCTGGAAGAAAGGAATTAGACCAAACCCAACCAAGGGCCGACCATTGGCCTACCTACTTCGGTGAAGCTCCGGCGGATTTGTGCACACAGCTGAGATTCTTTGTTCAATTTTTCAAATGATTCATGATTCATGGTGGATCAGCACAGGTGTGACTTCCCATGTCACCGGGGTGGCCTGCGTCGATTGGGCTATCTGAGTGCTACCACCTATGTTTCGGGTTTCTTGAATGTTCCCAATCACAAGGCTGTCTGCGACAACTTGTGGAAATACTTTCATGCTGGACGGCATTCTACTTACAATTTGAAGGGCCCCTGGAGGCCGTGAGCTTTTTTCAATGGTTTGATTTGATTGTTCTTTGCATGCTGCAGTGTACAGATGTCGAGGTCCCGTTCGCGTTTGCCTTACCCTTAGCTGAGGGCAACCACTGCATAGTCACAGTTGTGCGTGAAACTACAAAGGCCGAAAACACCCATTGGTTGGGTGTCTCTCTGTAAAAATACACACCCTTGTAAGAAAAGTTTCCCCTCATCATAGCTGAAGTGTATGGCTGGGGCTGCGACTCCATTCATCTTGGGCCTCATCCGGGTACTTGGAGGCCGAAAGAACAAGACACAGAGCGTTGGACCGTGGCGGGAAGACGGTCATCCCAAACCTCCGAAAAGACGGTCACGCCTCCCCTCCCATCTAACGACAGGAATTGGTCCGTCTCTCCCAGTGTGACCCACCCAAGCAAATGGGATTCTGAGAATATCTCGGCCCAGTCTTATGAGAATCTGAACCCCACCTAGATGGGGATTTATCTTCTTGTTGGGCTCATGTGTTTGTCATTCCCAGGTCTCCTGTCCTTGGGTTGGTCTTTTGGTTTACATCGCTTTGTCATTTGCTGCGTCCCTTTTTTGGTCATTTGGTTCGTCATACCATTGACACCAACAAACATACATTAAATTACCAACATAATCTAACATAGTTCAAAGAAACACTCACCTGCAACATCAAAGGACAATCGCAGCAAGTCTTCGACATGACTGACAAAATGGCAGAACTATATGAACCCATCGTACATTTAAACAAATGACAGTCTGATAACAACAAATAATTGCACAATCTGTGGGACTCACACAAAATAAAGCCATATAGAAACGCAATAAATGCATGCATGAGACAAACAAGCATGCGCACAGTGCCAAACATGACAGCCCAGACTTGGCAATGACTAACATAATAATGATTTGGCTTGCTGTTCTAAGCCGAACCCCACACACACACAAACACCAAGGAATGACTGACTAGCAGCACGAAAGGTTAGCGCAAGACAAATGAAAGAACATGACAACAACAGTGACAAAATGATTATCCTCAGTCTGTGCTGCAAAGATTTGCATTTGCCTAGTTTTGCACTTCAGCGCAACTGAGGCCAAGCTGCCTCTGCAACCTGACATTTACTAGTTAGTTAGGAGCCGCCTGTGAGATCAAATCCCCGGTCAGCCAAAAAAATGCCCAGCGGTTACAAGCTAACTATGTCTATATAGTCTGAATGTCCAAGCAACATGGGTAAAAAGTCATGGTTGAACCATCAAGGACTTCTTGGACCATCCCAAGAGTCTCCAGGAACCCGGAACGGAGGCTTCTAGCTATGTCAGGTGGCCAGCCGGAACACATTCAGGTGGCCAACCATCCAACTAAAACGGAATACCGCGCCCTTAAATCAGGGCAATCCTGGCCCCGCCATGTGGGAAATACATGGACATGAGCAGTGGAACATCCTTCTCAAGTATAGGGTATGGGATGGTATGGGAACACTCCCAACTTCTCCGGAGATTGCCCCGTGGGTTTTAGCATATTCCCTCTTCCATGATCTCCTCAGGATGACTACCCTGAAAGATTAACATGGAATCTCAAAACCACACTGGTCTGTAGAGGAAAATGGCCTTTCAAAGGTCCATTTTCAGGTTCCATGTCAAATGTTAATCTTCCCGGGTGTATAGCTTTCAGTGGCTCTCGTCGAAGACGACCCACCCAGCTTCCCCGTCGCCTGGGACCCAAGAGGGATTTCAGCACCTGTGCGAACAGCCCAAGAGGGACCCGAGATCGGCCAGCCTAGACAGGTGAAGTGGTCTTTGACGGTTTACCCAAAATGGAGAACAAAAAAGCCAAGGAATCCTGTTTTGCTTTGAAGGCTTCTGGATGCGTAAGTAGATCAAAGACTGTGCTGGCAAGACCTGTCTGACAAGCGCATGCGCGACATAGATTCCACACGTAGTTGTTGGAATGTCGTCAGTTTGTGTTTTGTCTAATTGCTTTCAAGGGTTAATATCTGTTGGATCCTGGTTCTCCAGCGCTTGAACTCACAACAAGATAACACTTGGTTGTTAGTTTCGGGGTCCAAGGTCCCAAATCAGCAGTGACAGTAACAAAAAGCTGGTTATACACCTATCTCTTCCATCTCATTGCACACATCACCTGCGGTCTTTTCCATCTGGACAAACGCTGACGTGCCATTCCAATCATCAAACATGCCCATCTCTCACAACATGCCCTTCTTTCCACCGCCACCCCCGGCCGAAGCGGCGCTTTCCCCCGCTCCCCTGCTCCGGGCCGCCGCGCTTTCCCCCCCCTCGGCGCGGGCGGCGGACACCGCCGCCACGAAGGCTCGGCGGCTCTGGGGGCCTCGGAACGAAAGCGGGAAATAAACATGGCCAAATGGCCTCCAACCTACTAGCGATGGGCTCCAACCTAGAAGCAATGGCATGAACATGGAGACGCACCTTCCAAAGTGACTCCACAAGTCACAATGAGTCGCTTCGGAGTCACTCAAACGGGCTGAAGTGTTTGTTCACATTGCTTGTTGGTGCCTTTTTGGTCAGGTTTCAAGGGTGCTTTGAAGGGTCCTAGGTATGTCCAGGTTCATTTGAAGGATTCCAAGAAAGCTTCTGGGCGGGGGGTCCAAGTTTTTTTCGATGTACAAGGAGATCCATGCCATCCCAAGCTATGAGCAAAGGAATGTGACCTTTCACATTCCCCGGCCCTTGCGCCTTCTGCCACTGCCTTGGCCACCGAGGTTGGCGCCTGCGATAACTAGTCATGGACAAATCACCAACCAGGAGCCCGGCACAAATCTGCTGATGAGCAGTTGCCATGCAGAAAAACCACTCCGGAATTCGCTTCAGCAGTCCCTTCTGAACATCCATGGGTGGTGTGAAAATATTGACAGAATTCACTCAAACACATCTCCACCATCGACGTCTTCGCCTTCGCCTTCGACGTCTTGGACTTCACCTTTCGACGTCTTGGACCACGGCGCCGACCCGTTGAACGGGCGCTCCGAACTCACCGAAGGGTCATGGTGGATTCAACGAAATTCATGTCTGGGACTGAACCAGTTCATTCGAGCGCGTGAAGGTTCATGAGTGCAGAAAAGACATGAAAAAGACCTGACGAGCTGGGCGAGTCTTCCAGAATGGGTTGGATTCCCGGAACACGAAAACACAACAAACACAGCATGTTCCAGGGCCACTTCGATCAATCTGGCGTACTCCAAGGGGGTCGAGCATAGGCGTTGGGACAGGAAGGGGAAATTATGGGAAGCCCTTCTGCAAATGGTCACTCCCATTTCCGAGCACTGGCGCTCTTGCAGTCTCTGGCCGCCAGCCTTGCCGATGGTTTGCTTCACCGCCTTAGGCATGGCAGGCAGGCCTAGCAAGGAGCAAGTTCATCATACCAATCTGCAAGGAGCAACATGTAAGTGTCGGGTCGGTGCCACTGGCTTTTCAATGTGAATCGCTGTACCTCTCATAAGCTCACCCAAGATCATGTTCAATATAGTTCATAGTATTGAAAGTGTGGTTCATCCTCTTCAGAGCCTAACAACGGTGACCCACCAACGGAAGCGCCACCAATGTGGGTCTTGTCGTTTCAGTGTGCTGTTTCGATCCCGCAAGCTTTTTATAGCTCCAGAAAGTGAAGAACCTGGAGTCTATCACCCATCGAGTGGCTTTATCGCATGATGGTTCCTGCTAAGCAAGGAAGTAACATTGGTATGCATTGGCAATAATTGGGCTTTGAAAGAGGACATTGGAACTGTTGTGGTGACTCATCGTCTTTTCGTTTCTCTCCACTTTTGCCCTCCTGGCCTGAATCCTTGCCGGGTTGTTTCGCCTTTTTGACTTTTCCCATTGCGACAATATGGCAACGTTGATTGTCTAACTGGGCATATTAGGAGCCTGAACCTGTTGTGTGTGTGGCTCTGGTCAGTAGTGGAAAACAATGGAAAAGATAGGTGCATGCAGCATGCGTTCAAGATATCTGTATACCAGGTTCAGAATAGTCAAAAGGGCCTACGAGCTAAACAGACTTGTGAGTTTAACAAATTGCTGTGAAGGAGGCCACCAAACACGCCAGGCCAATCTCTTTCCGTCTTCTTGCCACTCAACCAATTCCCCAAACAGTTGAAACATCTCCAAGAAAGCAGCGACCACGAGCCAAAAGCGTGCATCCTGCCAAACTGCGGCTGGGCTGTCAACGGCTACGGACACTCTTTGACCATGGCAACAGTCTCATCTCATAACCAGCATGCCTTCGTGCAGTGCACTTTTTTTCTGAACCTCAATGATATTCAGTGAAGCTCGACTGCTGAACGGAACTTCTCCAAAGCCCTCAGCAAAAGTCAAGAATGCTCTTGCGCTGCGTTTCGCTCAGCGCAAAGCACAAGAGAAAATGCAGGGGCGGCAATAAACGGTTTACTGCATAAGTTGCAACCCATTGCCGGTTCCACTCTTGAATTGACCTATAAATCACGAAAGGTCTGTCAGCATGCCTTAGCCCAGATCAAGAGCTTGGCTGGCCATAGGCCTTGAAAAAACCAAACATCCACTTGAGTCGCCTGCAACAAGGTTGGAGTTGCAGGAATTCAGAATTAATTAACCGCCCAGCCTAGGGCACAAGGCTGAAAAAGGGCCTTCAAGGGTTCCATGCTTCACTGGGTACCACTGCGACCACCTTTGTTTCAGTGGTGCCCATCTCCTCCTCCATCTCGGCCTTTCTTGCCTCTCGCTCCTCCTGGCTCACAACCTTGTAGCACCCGCCCAAGCGGACCCACCAGAAGACAAATCCTGCCACTCCGCTCAAGGCCAAAAGGGTCAACACAATACCTCCGGCTACACTGGCACCATAGAGCAAGGAAATGGCCAAGGACAAACCTCAGGGATAAACATGAGCAATTCTTGATGCTTGGATACCTTGGTGGTTCCCTTGCTGTTGGTGATTGTATTTTGGAACACCCATAGAGAGCCCAAATCAATCCAAGAACTTGCACATCATTATTGTCACATTTTGTCATGTGGTGCCTGGTACGGCCACAAACATGACCAGGATGTAAATGAGGGGTACAAGACGCCAATATGAGGCGTAGAAGCCAAGAGTGCAAGCAGCCTTGACAATCACCCTGCGCATGATGGGGGCAGGAAACCAAACGCAAATACCAATGATGTTGAAGAACAGGTGGCAAAAGGCAATCTGAATGCTGTTAAACTTCATAACGGCAAATGCAGCAAGGACAGAGGTAATAGTTGTGCCGATGTTAGCTCCAAGAGTCATGGGCAACATTTTGTGTACTGGTAGAACTCCGATGCCAACAAGAGGAGTCAATGCAGATGTGGTGACCGAGCTCGACTGCACTAGGATTGTGATCAAAAAGCCGACCAAGATTGCCAAATAGTCGTTCATCTTGGTGCCCTTCATTATCACCTTCTTCGCCTGGCCCATCACAAGGCTCTGCAACAACCGTACCAAGGCATACAAAGCTCCACACATCACAAGAAGCGAAATGATGAGTCCAATGATGCCGCCGCCCACATCACCTGCACCTTTCAGGAAGCCCTTGCCAATGAGCCTGCCACCAGCGATCTCATTGGTGTAGTAGTCTCCTGCATCAGTGTAGCAACTGCTGCCAGCAGGACATTGGTCACTGAAGCCACTGCAGCTTGTCAAGGCCTCATAGCCATCTTCGGCAACCTTCTTCCAAGCCTTGCTCATGGCTGAGCTCACGCAATAGTAAGTGCCGGTGCCTGAGGGCATAGTATAAGAAGAAGGTGCACCAAAGGACAGGGCCTTCACCACGTTTTTTATCTTTTGACAAGACTGCTTTGACAAGCGGGCTGACAATCTCCTTGGTTGGAGATGGGAAGGTCAGGTCGGCCTCTTGCTCTCCCAGCATAGCTTCTGTCAATCCCCTGGAGATCCAATAAAGCAAACCTCCCTCTCCTGAGATGGCAGCTATGATGATCTCCAATGGCAGCATGGTCAACACACTCAACATGTTGAACATGTCGTGCACGGTGGCTCCAGAAAAAGCACGCTCAAGTTCCAGGCGATCTCCAGAATGAGCCATTGACACAATGGTGTTTGTCACAGAAGTCCCGATATTGGCACCCATGATGATTGGGATCGCTTGGCGCGGAGTCAAAACATCAGCACCCACCAAACCCACCACAATGCTCGTGCTGGTAGAGGATGACTGAACCAGAACGGTTGCCAAGATCCCGACCATGAGACCTGCAATTGGATTGTCTGTAATCGTGAAGAGTTCACCAGCACCCTTTCCACCAAGAGCGCCGAAGGAACCCCCCATCAAGCTCAGAGCAAAGAGGAAGAAGTACAGCGAGATCAAGACACCAAGTATTTTCAGGGTCACGTACAATGCAAACTCTCCACAGCTCTGCTCATGTTTCTCTGGAGCTGTCGGGATCTCTTCAGCCATCACCACAAAGGAGAGCTTGAAATGCGTGCGGAGATCTCGTGGCTGAGTTGGAGCCCAAATGGCTACAGTATTGAATCATGCTATTGGATGAACACTTGATAAAGCCCTGCTAACTGATCAGTCCTTCTACTGGCTCACAATGAACACACCAACTCCTAAATAATTAAGTACATGGACATGAGCCTTCCTCGCAACTCACAGACCAGTCCCTCTTGAATCGCGTCCGCATCGGTGGCAGTTCTCTCTGTTTTGCGCGGCTCGCAGCATTGCTCAAGTTGTGGCACTGGCCTGGCATCAGCGGGTGACGCCAACAAAGCAGGATCATTGGCATACTGCGCATCCCTTCACAACAGTTCGTGTTGTGTTCTGGGTCTGTAGGGTTGGTCCACGAGAAAGTGGCTGCATCGTGGTGAGCCATGCTGCTGCTGCCGCTCAGGAAGTGCGATCCCTGTGAAAACATGGATCCTGTTGGTGTTTTCAACCTGCCTGAAACACAAAACATATAGATAATTCAGACACATTCGACGCGTTCAGTTCAGACTCTCGAAGAGCTTCTTTCCTTCCTCTCTGGTCTTCCCGGAATACCCGGAAGCCACAGTATTTATATACGGAGATCTGGCTAAGGTATGGGCTAGCTTCAATCAATGCGCAAGTTATATATATATGTATATAATCTACATATATCTAAATTATAATCATATACAGTATATACATATTCTTCCATCAAACAGTAGAACTGCAGGTCTTCATCCCCCTCCGCGCCTCGGGTGTTCCCTTCCAGGTCTCCTCCACCCGCGCACGCCGCGCGAGCACGGAGCGTCGCAGGTCTTGCAGGAGCTCCTGCGACAGCTGCGAGCAGTTGGGAGCACGGGGAGCCTGGGACCTGAGTGGAAATATCACAAATCACCAGGCTGTGGGTCCAACCTAGAATGGGAAAGCGTTCAGTTTCTTATGTTTGGGGTCACTGAGGGGTGGTTTGAGTGGAGCTTCAGAATCTGGCCGACACTGCTGGTAAAAGAAGGGACCAGGAAATGACCCCAACGATGCTGAGTGACAAACGTTCACTTCTTTTTGCGGTCTTGGGCAACCAAAGATTTCCGTCTGTCAATTTCTTCCTGCAGGAGGAGCAAAACGTTTTGCAGACTAGAACTCGCAAGGGGAAAGGCCGCATGACCTCAAATTCCCAAGAAAGGATTCAAAGCCATAAATAATAGCTACGGCATGCCAGGACCAGGCTCAACAGGTAGCTTCTCGGACGACATCCTAAAGCAGGGTTGTCGAAAGGAAGATGGGCCAGGCTGGCTACTAGACAGTGAAATCAGGCTGTTTCCCAGGCCAGTAGATCAAACCGAGCAAGTTCCGGACCATGCTCGACCTATATATTCTTGATATCGAAATCCGAGAGACAAGCACCAGTGAAAGAATGCTGACATCCCATGGGCTATGTACCCTCGAGGCCTACTGAGCTTCCCATGTACCCAGAGGATGCCTAAGGAGGCATCGAAATTCATCCATGCTCATCCACCCTTCCCAGGGGAGACTGAAAAGACCCATCTCGATCAATCCGCCCTGAAGGCCTGCGTCATATTGAAATCGAGGCAGGAGTCAGTGACCTCAGATCTAGCAATTATGTTCCACTGATGGAAGAGATCCTGCACCGCCTGGAATATCAGGGAACGTGGTGTTGTATATAATTCTAAGGTATTCTAAGGATTCTTCCATCACCAGTAGAATGGCAGGAGATGCACTCCCGAGAAGGTCGGGACTAAAAAGTAGAATAATGACAATGAACAGGTTTGCAAAAAAAAAACATGTAAAATTGTTAAACAAATCGAACAACATGTTTGAGATCTTGCATGATATTGAATGTCTTGCTTTGAGATATGCATGGCCACATGCTCCATACCCACACGTGTCAAGCTCACATTCCCTGAAAGCTGGTGATATTCTGCTGTGTCACACGTCTCTTCTTTTTCAGCAGCCTGCAGTGTCGTGAGGTCATGGCACTGCAACCGTATTGAAGATCCTCAACTTTCGTCACACCTGGCTGAACGTCCAAACTCGACAGTGATTCTGGGATGATGTGGGTGTGCACAGCATACTACTTTGTTTGCCCACCGGGTCCTCGCGACTTGCCCCCACCAATCTCTGTTTTGTATTGTATAGTCTCTCTTTCCTTCTACTACGACAGGTCTTTGGAAGATTTCCTCTTACCAAAACAACTCAAACATATCTACGAAGGCTAAACATCACAACCTCAGAAGGACAGCACGTCCCAAAGGCTTCTCAGACAGACGTGAAGTCGACTTCAAGCCAAGGACGCCCCCGGAGCTTCCCTCCGAACCTGGTTCCAACTTCTGGTTTCCAGCCACCAGGAAGCTTTCGATCAAAACCTGTGGAGGGAACCAGGGGCCATGTGGTCCACTGGTGGGGCGAAGGGGTTGTGATGATCTGTCAATTCCCTCTTCTCTCGAGTACCCCACGGGCCTACTATGGCCGTTTCTGATATCCATTTTTGTCCAGCCGCATAGGCGCCCCGTGGAAGTGGCCAATCCCAAAGCAAAACGAAAACCATCTTAGCAGTTCTTAGATTATTGTGCATACCACTTTGCACAGCACGCCTCTTAAATGCAAATGTGCACAACACTAGTTCATGCACACATTGGCCCTGTGAGCCAATTCCGCACTCTTTTGCAACCCAAGCCATCACTGCTAGAGGACCAACTGAAACAAGAGTTAATTAGTTATTTGGCTCAGCACGTCCAGTGCTGGCCTGTGTTTTTTGGGGTGCAGTAGCAGCCACCGGCATCGCACCCGGCCGATGTCCGAGCTCCCCCACTCCACCAATGGCGGTGTTTCCCGAGGAGACCTGTGGCGGATGGGTCGGTGTCCCAAAGAACGGTGTCACACGAGATCCAAACATGCAAACCGTACTTCCCAACAGAAAACCAAATACCTGGTGAAGCAAAGGTATGCAAACAAAATACACTGCATTTCAGGAAAAAAAACACATGTGTTTTTGCGTTGTTTTTGTTCTTCAAATGACTTTGTTGCAGGACAATTCAAGAACTTTGTTGTGGGACTATTACCTCGATGTTATGTTCGATTCGATGCATTTTGTATACTCACGGAGAAATCAGCTGGTGCAAACTTGGTTGCATGCTGAAGAGTGGCATTTGGCTCATAATTGGGGATCCCAAAGGTGTTTCAAGTTTGAAGGTGCCACATCTACATTTTGCTGGTTCTTCAGCTTTGCATACAGTGCATTTCCTACACAGGAAAACTGATGTGATTTGGAAGCCTACAAAGGCTCATTATGGTTCAACATCAGTTGTCAAAATCCTTTTTGGCTTGGATCCACTCTTGCACCATGCTTGTGATTACAATCTGGACACCACCTATCGTAATGTTGCTTCTTTGTGTCAACACTTGTAAACATGACAAAACAAACACTTTTCTGCGCGAGAGCTGTGCGGGGTTTGGCTCTGAATTTTGTGGAAACTGCGCTTTATCACGAGTAGATTCACTGAGTTGAGAAGGATTCACTGAGTTGCTTGGTTGGAGGCGGAACCAACGGAAGGGATGTCTGCTTTTCTCTGCCATGCTGGCCTGATTGCCAACCATGACCCGTTTTTCCAAACAAAGCCATTATACACATGTTCTTTCCAAACAAATGCCTTTATGTGGCTGAGATGACCATTTGACCGGAAAAAAACACGTTATGAAGAATGAATACTATTCCAACTCCCAGGAAGGACTCCCAAGGACCCATTCTTTTTGTGAGTGACATGGAATGACACGTCAGGAACTTAAAGAAGCAATGGCTACAAATACAGACTTAATTTAGCAGGGATCCTGAACCACGTGACCCCTGCATGAGACCTCCTCAATTCAATCAGGCTTCCCAATCCTTCAAACACAAAGGTGCTAGACGTATATACTGTATATAGTATTTATGTTGATTCCATATAAGTATGCACTGAAAGTGCCTTCAGAAATTCTTCCACTCTGTGTTTCGATCTTCTACCTTTGCCCATTCTCCACGACCCGTTCAGCACCGATCGCACCGCCCACCGGAGCGGCCGGAGCGGCGGGCTCGCTGCCTGTTCGGCCACGGAGTGACAAGCGACCACCTGGCAAAAGTGAGCGAAAGGACCGACAGTCGTCGAGCGAAAGGACCGAGGATGTTTCTTCTTTGGGATGTGTATATCTGTATAACTATATACTTAAACTATACATAGGGAGACCTCCCAGTTCAACCGCCCTGAAAGGTTCGGGAAATAGACTCAACTAGACCGGACCAGTCTACCCATTGGTTCAGCAGGTCTCCCACAGGTCTCCCATGTTCAGACCTCGGTCTCCTTTCCTTTTCGGATGGTCTCGATTGTCTCGGGCAGGACTGACCAGGTCACGAAGGCGCGGACTCCTGGATCGATGAACAAGATTCTTACTGGCAAGGGGAATCCCACAGCCATACTGGCCGTAGGTGCTCCCAAATGCACCCTGTAGTCTACTGTAGAGTGATTTCGGCTTTCCGAGGTCTTTGAACCCATCCACTAAGACTGTAAGTCTGCGCCTCTCCCTCATACTTCTTCCCAGAATTGCCATGGGAGCCTCAAAGATCAGGCGAGATGGGTTAGTTCATATTCCCTATGGATCCACATACCGAACCTGAGAAAGTGATTGGAGACTATTTATGTAGCCTTGGAGGGCCCAAGTACCTCCTGAGACGGTATGTGGATCCCTAGGGATTATCCTAGAAGTAGCCCAATCCAATAGCATTCTCTGAAACATCAATATGATTCAACATGCATTTGTTTGACTTGGCATGGCTCTCACAGCATCCACGGGTCGATGTTGAAACTCTGAGCTCCCTGCAGTCGATCAATATCTGGGATCCACCTGAGCATGGAGAATCAGGTAAGAATCAGCTGCAAACAGGCTTTTTGTGCCGAGCTTCCCAGAAACCATGCATCTTTATGAATAGCCAACGAGTAAATTTGGTTTTCCAAGTCCAGGCAAACTTGCGCCGCTTGCTTTTTGGGCCAGGGTACCCTGCGCCGTTTGCTTTACTACAGGACGTTCTATCCTCCGTGCTTCGAGGCCGCCAACACAGTGACAACGAGGCCGCGAGGCCTTGAGATGGAAACAAGAAGCGTTGGGCACACACACAACATGTCACTCCTATTGGTGACAATCTTGACAGCAAGGATCGACTTAGAGACTTAGTTACCTGTGATCGATTTGTGGTTGATCTTCAAATCATCAAAACCACAAAACGTCAGGTCTGATCTTCAACTGAAACCCCCGTATGCTGTCCCTTCACATGTCCATCTGTACCCTGTTGGTTCCAAAGACAACACCTCAAGCTGACTGAGGCTGAAAAAACACAACAAATATCAACAAATCTCTGTTCTCTTTCGAAAAAGGTTCACTTCAACTGCCTCACTGTCGCCACCATGGGTTTTTTTCGGGGCGCTCCCGTCGTAACAATCTCCGGGGAGCCGCGCGAAAACCCGCTTGGGCTAAGCGCTCTTTGGCTTCAGCCACAAAGGTCTCCCCTTGCATCCCGGACATCGAGTCGACCAAGTCCCCGTGAGGACGACGACGGATTCGAAGGGAGGATGGAGTGGTGGTGGAAGTGGGGGACTGGCAAACGGCTGAACTGGATCAACACATGAACGATCGGAATTGTTGTAGTCCACCAATCGAGACCAATCTCCTGAACAGGGAGATTTCAACTGTCCATCCTCTGGTTGGAAGTGTTACTTGTCCATACTTATGCAAGAACCAACAGCCACGTCATCACGTTCGTCGCAAGTGATGTTGATTCTGGCGATCCCATTGGCTCTTGTAAAACTGCCCTTTCATCAAAACAGTATTCAACAACGCTGAGTACACCACCCTGAAAACGTCTCCCTTTGAGTGGAGATTTACCAACAAAATGTTTTGCCGTATTGCCATGTGTGATTCAAAGGGCCAAGTCAAATACCCAGCACAAGCACATGAGTTTAAACTTGAAGTAACTAGACGCACAGAATACGCCCGAAGCAAACCAAACTGTCTGCGCATTCTATGTGGTCCAACATAGTCCAACACCATCCTCACTGCCTCTCCACCCAAGACCACCAAGCGGCCAAAGTTGGGCCCATCCTCACTGCCTCTTAAAATGATGTGCACGTCAGGATTCCCGATGGCCTAGAACAGCCGAGCGAGCTTCAATCCGGTGCCGAGCTCCGCGCTCCGCGCAGCCGAGCTCCAATGCGCGGCCGGACCATGCGCAGCCGGTGCCTTTAGCCGCTGATGCCCCAAAAGCAAATGACATATCGTGTACCAGGGACCTATATGGGTCATCCAACCGGCTTATGATTGTCATTGCTTTTTGGCACTTCCTTTCCACATCCTTTCATAGACAATGAGTACCAGGTGCTCGAATCGGCGCCGGGTGCATCGGTGCCGGTGTGAATCACAAGCGGTGCATCGATGTCGCCTGTTCAATCTGTACCCGTCCACGAGGATCCGTGGACAATCTCTTCTGGGGAGAAGAGGCCGCCACGGCGGCGTTCACCGCGGATTGAATGTCACCTGAAGTCATGGGAGTTGAGGTGACATCATGGAGCTGCAGCTAAATCGTCAGAGAGCCAAGACAAGACAGTCTTTGATTTTCTGAATGAAAGGGGGAGCGCTGCTAAGGGTGTTTGAGCTGATCTGCATTCTTTGAGGCACCGACACACAGTCCTCACCCTTATTAAGAAGTGGAACACTTTTATCTTTTTGAGTCTTCACTCCTTCCCAATCATTTACCATACCATATTCCACCTATACCTCCGGTCTCAGTCGAATATGTTTTTGCATTCATCCCATGACTTTTCAGCCTTTTGTCCTCAAAGTCGGAACCTTGCTGAACCCAAAAAAGAACGCCACAGTGGAATCTGAACTCCCACCGAAAAAAACAACAAACCACTCAAGGACCAATCAAACCCGATCCTTCTGCCTATCGACGATGCTGACACCTGTCAGTGCCGGCGAATCTCGCACACATGTCACCGGTCGATGACCGGTGTCAGCCGGTGTCCAAGGAACCGCTGCGACTGTTCTTGAAGCCGATGGGCATCGTTAAGCTGGCCGCCAGCTGCCGATGCACCGGGCTTTCCACCGTTCGAGCCCCGATGGAGCCGTAGGCGACCACGTCTTCGATGTAGGGCCTAGGGAGAGGGCGTGTCCAGATCCCAAACAGGTGTTCCCCGTTGTGTGTGTGTGTGTTTTATTAGGGGGTAGGAGGTAGGCCGCTAGAGGTGAGGTAGGTTAGCTAGATAGGGAGTCGCTTGTAGAAGAGGTAGCTAGTAGCTTAAATAGCTACTACTTAGGACGCAGGATAGCTCACGCTTCTTCAAGGACGCTCCTCCCGCCACCCTAAACTTAGCGGGAAAAACTTCCTTGAAGAAGCGCTCGCACCAATGATTTGGTTCCTAGATTTTTTGGGAAACTTAACATACGAGTAAAGGAGCAAGCCTTCGAATTTCTCAGAAACAAGTTGCATACAGGGGAGGATGGCTCTCAGAGGTTCAAAAAGGTTCAAAACGGTTCAACATGTCATACACGGCTCTTACACTCACTTAAGATCTCCTCTTGGATTCTGTGGTCTACTTTTGCCCTCTCGACATCGTTCGGACCATCCGGATGCCGCACCCTTCTTCAAGAGTCGAGGAAAACAATGGACCTCACTTCGTTCGCAGATGGGACCCGGCCCCACGTACAAGTGCATTGCCAAAGCAACAGGAACATAGAAACAAATCCCCAAGCTAAACGCGGCTTGGTGCGACTTCTGCGGATGGGTTCCCCAAGCTAATTCGGATAGCTGATGAGTCTTGGTGCGACTAAGTGATTTGGGAGCACTTGTATACCAATTTTCTGAGGGCACCTCTGCTGAGACTCCAGGTTCTATGGATATATCATGATATATCATCCAAGGAACGCCACCAAGGGGTCCAGAAACTCCACTGCAGTGGGCAGCCCGGCTGCCAGCACGTCCAACAAGACCCGGCGTCCCAAAGCCAAGCCACGCGCCAAGTCCTTGCCAGCGAGCATTCCACAAGTTCCGATGTATTGAATTGAACGCTAAAAGTGAAGATATTTCATGATATTTCAAAGACCTTCCCTCCCTCTGTGAGTTCTTTCTGGGATGTTGTTCAATCAAAACCCCATGATCGAGGAAGTATTTGTGTCAATTTCTTTGTTGCAAAATCACGGGTCAACTCTAGTCTAAGAGTCATGCCAAGTCACACAAAAGCGGTCCGAATCTGAATCGAGAACGTGAAAAAAGCCCGTCCATTTTCCAGGGCAAAGTATCATGTGGGACCTCACAGATTCGCCCAACAGATATTGTCCCACATGTTGGTCTCCTAGTGTGGCACTATCATGTTGGTCTGACAAACAGAATTCAAGGGCACCCCTACTAGGAGCAAAGGGCATCGCGACGAACGGAGCAAGGGCGCTACTATGGGGCGCTCCTGGCCTTACTACTATATAGTAACAAGGATGCTACTAGGAACAAAGGGCATCGCTACTAGGAACACGGATTTTCTTCTAGTCTTCTGGAGACCAATACCCTCGCGACTCACAGGTCCCGCCTCGCCGCCCGTCAGGGTGGGATCCGAGATCAAGCCGCGCCAACCTGGGAGGTCTTGGGAGGTCCCGGGGACGTATTCTTTTTTAGATAACCATATTTCAATCATTGTTTCTATTAGTATAACATAACTTATAGCTATTGTTTACTTAAAACAAAAAAAAAATATTCTTTGAACGTCTTTGAACAAACAACATAAGCATAAATAAGCTATTCATGTTTCACTGGCCTTTGAAGAACAGGACCTGGAGAAGGGGAGTTTTTCCCTCTCAATGACCGGCTGGAACTGGACGTCTGGAACTGGAGGACGTCTGGAACCTTTGTTTGGCTCTTGGAGGCACGTGATGTGATCGTCAAAGGTCGGGTTTAGCAGGTCCCAGATCCTCCTAACCACCTCCGATGCCCCCATCCGATCTGCGGCCCGATCCTGATCCCGAAGGCTGAGGGCTTCGATGGAGGTAGCTGCATCCATTTAGGTTTATTTTCACCTCTTCGGGGGTGGCCACCTCAAGGGATCTTCAGTTCGATGGCATGGCCTACCTGATGCACTGAGAGATGAGGATCGAATGCCGCCAAGCCAAGGAACCTTTGGCGGTGCGCGGCTTCTCAAGGTAGGTCCTGTGAGACTGAGAGCTTTGGGATGGTTGATTGGATGGGTACGCTCATGGGGGCATTTTCATGGATATGACTCGCAGGGTAGAAACCAAAGAACACCGCCTTCAAGACTCTGTCCCTGTCCTGAGTCGCGGTTCTTGTGGTTTGAATTTGTGTAGTAGGAGATAGTAGCTTGCCAAAACTAGGCTTTGGGCCTTCAGCGAGTCCTTTGAGGGGCCCTAGCCTTTTCCATGACATACCTGGACCCTCAGGACCCTCAGGTGCCCTGGAGTTTCTGGGGCCACGTTCCCATGCCGCCCAAACCCGTCATCCTCGGAAAAACGCGGAGAAAACTCGGATCCTCATCATGATCAGCAAATCATCCTTCATTTCCTCCCGAAGCACCTGGTGCAGCAAGGAGGCAACGCTTCAAAAGCAACCAAAAGTCGGTGAAACACTTGGAGAAACCAGCGAAGAACACCTATTTACAAACAGGCCTATTGATATTATTTGTGCATTTCCAATCGAAGGGCATGAGAACATTGGACCTTCTGAAGAGAAAGGCAGGGGCAATATAGGGGGAAAGTTACAGTACTGTCCTCTACTAGAAGTGATCTGTGAGTATCCTATGTTGGATTCTTCAAGGGTGGCACCGATATGCCCAGGTATGTCGAGAAGTTCTAGCTTTTTGTTGGCAGATTCATCAATCCTTTGACATTGTTGCCTTTACCTTATTCGAGCATCCGCTAGTCCAGCATTGGGATGCCTCTTCAACAACAAGTTCACAACGTTCACGAGTTCAACATGGAACCAAGTATGATAGATTATGATAGTGATGCAAAGCCTGCTCGACAACCAATTCAACGTACGTCTTGGAAGGTCTTGGATCAACGTTGGCGCCTGCAATCGATGAGCATACTCCCGTGCGGCTTTGGGATCATGGATGGAGCATGGACCCACAATGACCAGCAAACGATCATCCTCCGCACAATCCGACGAGGTTGCAGAAGCAACGAGGTTGCGGTTCTTCCGAAGCACAGGTGGGCCTCTGACTTTGAGGGGTTCCATCTCTCTAGAGAAATTCACGTGAGACTAGAATGTCCTTCTTAGATGATGCAAGTCTTTCATAGAATTGAACCATAGTTGCCATAGTTTATTAAAACCGTATATGCAGGGCTGAAACCTCAGAAACTGCGTGACGTGTCTAGCGCGCAGCTTCTCACAAGCTGCTGCAGCTGCGGCGCTGCTGTTGCAATGCTGGATTCTTGCAGCTGCTGGGCTCTTGCTGCTATTGGGTTAAGACTTAAGACCACACTTCGTGTCAACACCTGCCCAGAGCTTCGGCAAACATATAAACATGACGGATATTGAGGAACAACTGTTTGCCAAATTGAGTTGGATGAGATCTGGCGTGTACCATTGGTCAAGAAGTCGACCGCTGTACTAGCACACTGCTAGCGCAAAAGATCCTTCATGCTTGAGGGAGGGAGGGAGTGAGGGAAGAGGGGAGGAAAAGGAGGAGAAGAGGAGAAATTCATTGTCCAAAAACCTTTGGCAACACACACACCTGCCAATGAATCGTGATCATCTCGAGAACCTAGTACCAGTGTAGCGCGCGAACCGGTTCGCGTTGTCTTCTGGAAGCACCGAACCGGACTTCGGGGGTCCGCTTCTAAACGATGTAAACAAAATACATGCTGCATGCTCGGGTGAAATATCACTCCGACATTCTTTGTGTCTTTGTGTGTACAGTACGGTCTTTTGAACGCGATCCAATGTCCTTTTTCTTCAGAGAAAAAGGCAACTTGCCTCTGCTTCCCAAACAGTACTTGATCCCCAAAGCGAGTCTTTGAGGCGTTAAACCACCCGGGTTGCTGAGCGGTTGACCCACAGCCACTTCGGTCCGCCGTCGTCCACCCGGCTCCTGGCCCTGCAAAATGGCGGCCGCTTCCGCTCGGCTGGTGTTCACCAAGTTCTTCAGCGGAAAGGGCAGCGGGAAGGATCTGGCCATCTCCTTGGGGCTCCGGAGACCTGCCCGGTCGGTTGGCGAGGGTGGTGGACAGGTGGATGGTCGTGCGATGGACAGGTGGGATGGCGTTTGGGATGGGGTTTTTTGGTCTAAACATGGTATAGATTCATAAATCTGTAATGATGCCGTGACAATTGGTGGCTTTTTTTTTGGAGCTCTGTGTCGGTGCCACTTGTAGAAGGGTCTCTGAAGACTTCTAAAGTCTACATTTACACGATCTCACCTGGAGCCACAGTAGACATACATTCCAATGCTTACTTGCCTGCACGAACACCTTGAGTTGCAGCCAAACCAGCTACATCCGCTATGCCGGGCTATAGGTAGACGGAACTGTGCCAAACCCCAACCCTTGATCCTTAAAACATCTTTTAAACCACCCTCATGTAGGCAAATATTTTCAAATATTGCATACATCAGTTGTTAGTAGTAACAAGAAGCTATTAGGAACAAGTGCCTCGCTATAGTAGTAACAAGTGCCTTAATAGTAGTAACAAGAAGCTACTAGAAACAAGTGCCTCGCTAGTAGTAACAAGTGCCTTACTAGTAGTAACAAGAAGCTATTAGAAACAAGCGCCTCGCTAGTAGTAACAAGTGCCTTACTAGTAGTAACAAGAAGCAGTTAGAAACAAGTGCCTCGCTAGTAGTAACAAGTGCCTTACTAGTAGTAACAAGAAGCTATTAGGAACAAGCTTTACAGTTCCAACTCCCTCCCGCTCCCTCCGCCTTCGCGTCGGAGGGTGTTCGAGGCCGCGGTGGGCCAATTGAGGTACAAGCCCAAAAGACACAGCACCTGGGTGTTCGGAGACATGGCCATGGACCCAGTTTTCCCGATCCAAAGACCCAAACCATAAACACACAGACACAATCAGACACACACATACGACCGGCCCAAAGACAGTTCAACAAAACAAAGCAATGTTGTACCAAAGGCTTCTGTGCATCGCAGAAGCCAAACAACCGACAGGCCCAAGCCGTTGAGTTCAGTTAAGGCTGCACCTGTTGGGATGGAGACCTTTCCCAAGCAACCTCAAAAGTCTGAAAGCCCCAAGCCTAAGCGAGACATGTTTTGCGCCCGAAGGTGCCGAGGCAAAGAATGGAAGTGTTCTTTGCTACTGAACTGCATCGAACAAAGTGATGAACAAAAGCGGTGACGACCTTCCCCAAGCAGTGACGACCGATCTGCCATGGCACGGCCGTCACCACAATCACCCCGATGCTGGCAGAGAAGCACAGCGAGCCGTTGCGTGGCGTGCGGCGGCCCGCAGCCGGCATGCTGGGCTGCATGAGATCCGAACTTCCGCAGAGACCGTGGTATTGGTGCGGAGGCGTGGCCAACAATCAGACAGGGCTTGAGTGTTGGTTTGTAGTGCTGGACTCATTCAGTTCGGCATCTGCGAGTGGCTGATCGTGTCGCTATGACCTGTCGCTGAGGTCATGTCCTGCTCCAACTGTGCGCGAGATCATTACACCTTCCTGTGCAAGACTGGATGTGACGACGTGCCAAAGTCCTCAAAATTATCAGTAAGCAACTTGCTCTATGCATGTACGCTTGATATGCAAAATGCAAACTGCGGGCATCTGAGGGCTATATATGAGTCATGTTAAGATTGTTGAAGCACATTCATACCCAATAAGTATAGTAATCCAGTATTCCAACAGGTTATACAAGTTTCAGTCCTTGGATGTCCGATTGCCCAAGTGCGTTCATCATGCTAGACCTCTTGCGTTCATTCATGACAGAATCCTGGGATGGCCTCGTTGGATGCTCTGGTTCAAACCGGTGGTCTCAGATCGACAAGCACATTCAAAAAAAGAAAACATGAGCACTTTTTTTGACCATCCACGATCGCACAATCTCATGGTACTTAGCATCAACAGCTACACATGTGCTCATTGTAACTTCTGATTCCAGGAGCACGGCAGGTCGTGGGCTTAGTATCACTTGGATGTCGACCGCAACAAAGGCGTGCGTTTTGCTTCACCAACAGCACGGTGTAAACTCAGAGCCAGCTGCCTCGTCGTGTATACCATCTATACCTTGGAGCTCTGTTTGCAGTGATCCTCAAACATCTCGTCATCCTCTTCCGGAGCCAGGGTAGTATTCATAGTCATCACCCTCGTCATCGTCGTCCCCAAGCAGCGAACCTTTGCGATGTCGAAAACCACCGGAGTGGCACAAAGCTGTCAAGCACGCCAGGCATACAACAATCACAGAAGTTGCAACAACCAACACCAATGTCTGGTGCTTCCAAGCATAGCTAGACATACCCGACTCAATGGTATTGATGGTTGCCAAACCAGTGCCACTGCCTTTTGGAACACATAGGCCACTTTGGAGCTCGTAGCCGTCAAAGCAAAGACTGCAGTGAAGTCCCTAGCAAAAGAAGCAAATGATTCTTCATCTTCAGTGTGGGTCTTTGATCTATTTGATGTTTGTATGTCATAGGCGGGATATTCCTTCGGACCTTTGTTGGATGATGTTGGATGACTTACACCTGACAACAACCTACAAGTCACGGCACCTGTCACGCTAGCCCGGTGAAGCCTCAAACGCTCATCACATGGAGCAACCAGGGTCAACAACAAGTGACATGTCCTAGATCAACAAAAGTGGTGAGTCTATGTCAGTCTGATAGGTGTTTCTTTTTGTGTCATGTTCTATTTTTGGATGTTTTTGGTAACATGCTCTCCAGATCAACTTGGATGATCTCCAGGCATGTTCCAGATCAATCTGCATTTGTTTCACCAGCCTCGCCTGGCAAACGGCACACTGCTCATCGATGCAACGAGTGCAGCGTCCTGTGGTGCTACTTCCATAGAATCCTTCATTACCTCGGTGGCCCCCGCTGCTTGGGGCTTCAAAATGCGAGACCTCACTGAACATCACTGACCCCCTGAGCCCTTTCCCTGGAACATCCAAGGAATTCACCTTTTCTTTCACCTACCAATCCCCCAAAAAGGTTAAAAGTTCACTTTTCAAAGGGTCTGCTCACAAAGATCAATTCCGGGGACAAGGCATCACAGGTGATGTCAGGTGACTAGACTTGGCTTTAGAAGCGACCACGCTTTCCACGGTATCACAGGTATCGTGAGCTCTGAAGCTATCCCTTGTGCAGATCCACTCACCATGTGGTCACTATAAACCTGAACTGAATGACTCAATGACCCAACCTTGGTATCGAATCCTGTTCACTGCTCCTACCGACTGCATTTGCTGTGTTTCCACGACTGACAGCCAGATGTGCAAAAACTCGTGGCAATTAACTGGCATTGATTCACTTGTATAGCTGGGGGCATCCCCACAAATCACGACTCAAATTCCAAACCGTTCAAACGGACGGACGGTGAAACCCAAGGACCGGTCCATGAGAACCTGTCAATGCCCTGTTCATGAGAACCAATTGAGCCCTTCCATTCCACCCGAACCCTGAACAGGTCATCCGCGACTCTGCGACTCTCAGCCCTCTGAAGGCCACCGAAGAGCGGAACCCCCGGCCGAGCCGGTCCGCATCGGCGTCCGTCGAGTGCCCAGGTGCAAATGTCCGTGCAACGACGGCTCTGCCCGTCGAAGAAGCGGCGATCCACCGGACAGGGAGGCCGCTTCACGGTGAAGTAGTAGTTGTGCCTCATCGGGTCGCTGGAGGTCGATGGTCCAGGTGCTTCGTCACTTTGGGGATCTTTGGGATGTATATCTTGATGTGATATACAGTAGATGGTAGGTATTTGGCTGATAATGACATGCTTGTATTTTCTGGTATGGACCGCAGAACTCTGGAGAACTTCGCACCTCTTCAGGCTCTTAGATTCGGGCAAGAGTAGAGATTTCCTATAGGATCCTATGACAACAAGCCATCTCAAGACTTAAACTTGGACGTGCTCCTTACAATATCATAAATCTCAGCATCTCAAGACTCCTTGGACAAATAAACCTCCTTTATACACTCAGCCATCGTCCGCCAACAGCCGAACGTCTGCCCAGCTGCACACGAGATCGATCCGCCGAGGTGACCTGGATCTGCACCACCCGCGTGTGGCCCACGTCCAAGGTGGTCATCAAGGTGGACCTCGACCGACTGGGCGGACAGGGCGTGGAGCGGCCCCTGTCCGCACCGGTGGAGACAGTTGAGATGTAGGCACCAATTCAGAAAGGTAGCCGGTTGGAAAAGGCACCACAGCTCTCAACTGGTGTAGATCTGGGGGGGGGAAGGGGAGACGATAAAAAGGACGTGCTTTCGGCAGCATAACAACCCTCACATAATAGGTGGAAAATGATCATTTGATTGAATCATTATTGAATCCAATGAACATGCCTTAGCCAGGTTGGGCCAGTACCCACAGTCCATGCTTAAGGCTTAAACTGGTCAATTCAAACACGTTTTTATACGGATTTGCAAATAGGAGGGATGTGCCCAACACATGTTCAAGGGGGGCTTGGACTCTTCTAGCAATTATGGACGGAGAACTGATTCTAGACGGAGATGTCCTGGACAAGGACTGTAGGACTGGACCATCAACGTGATCTGTTCCACAATTCTGGAGAGGACCCTGGGGGCTGATGCTGCCACCAAAATATGGACTGGCTAAAGGGCCAAATGGAAGACATTCAGTGAACTCTTCAAGCGATGCACTACCAAGATGATACCTTTGGGAAACCAGGACAAGAACAGGAAGAAACGGACATGGTTCATCCCCACCATTCTGGGACTGCACCTTGGACCCCTAATTACCTCAAAATCTCACCTGGTAGGTCTCCCACCTTTCAGCTTTCTCACCTCTACCATCCACCAAACCAACCTCGGCCCAAACGCAAACGAGTCACGTCAAATGTTGAGCCTCCCCAACCTGGGGACTGCTGTGTGGCATGCTGAGCACCTCCGTGCCCTGCAAACGTCGCCCCGGAAGCTCCGCAGTTACCTCTTGAAGTTCGGCCACCATCTTCACTGCTTGTCCGTTGTCCAGCCTAGGCCCCATCAAACGCACCAACTTTTTTTGGGCGACCAAGAACGACAACCAGCTGATCTATTGTGTTGTGTATGAGGACCTGGACTTAGGGGGATAAGAGGAAATTGGGATTTGTTGCACTGTTGTCACTATGATTAGCACACCCATGACAATGGCAGCAAGCTTCTGAGATTCTTAAGCCTTGCTCTGCGTTCCGAACGCGGGGTAGAACAAGGGATTGAAATGGGTTTCCCGGACAACATGTGTAGCGAAGCCGGGTCGTGTGCGACCTCCAATTGGTGTCAAGGAACTAACTGTGAGGATCTGTTGTTTCACAAGGGCCCAGCCAAACAAAGCATAAATTTAGCACGATTGTTTTGTTTGCATAAATGAAGGCTCGACGAGCCATTGCACTTTCACAAAGATGTGTTCTACAAGAAAAGACTCGAAAAGACATGGACTATTTGGTGATTGTCCCCATTTCTGTCAGAATCTTTCAGTGAAGGTAATTTACAACCTTGTCAGCTATTTCCATTAGCTGCTTCAAAGTCGCTTCAGGATCTGAAACTTCACTAAGTCCTCCTCCAAATTCAAGTAGACAGTGAAGCGTTTCACCTCTGGCTTCCACCCTGGCACGAAGTAAGCTCCAGGCACGTGGACATCTTTCAGAGCGGTTTCGCTGCCAGCTAATCGGCTCACATTCAGTAGGTACTTTTGAGAATCCTCACTTCCGAAAGACTGAACTGCAAACAAAGAAAACATAAATTGAAACTCTCTTCAAAACAAATATGGCTTGAATATTTCAAGAAGCCGAACAAATGAAAATATGACAAAAAAAGGGTACATGTTTGCAATCTTTGATTCCAAGCCATCAATATTGTGATGCTTCGCCAGGACAAAGATCTCTAAATTTCTGGCATCCCCTGGATCTAACATCACTGCGGATGAGGATTCACTGATTTCATCTAGTTTGCAACTATCCCGTGGGCTGGCGGTCGCCAGAAGATGGAAACCATTCACGCTGTAGTCCAAGGATGCAGCATATTTCCGGACCTTTCCCCCATCCACTGGATGGATATCAATGGGTTCGGCCACACCGTCATCATCTGCCAAGGAGTGGAGAAACAAGTTGGCCAAGTGGCACGTCTTCTCAGCATTGGCGATTTGAAGGTTGTCCCTGGGTGTCAAAACCTCTGCTGTCCCCTCCGCTGCTGAAGACACGTGCCACGTGCCCAGAAAGACCACTAGGATGATGCCAAGGACAAATTGGCACTTGGCTGAAGCCATGGACAAAGCTCCGCGTCTGCGATCCGAGCCAAAGACTGTCTGGCCACAGAACCTCCGATCACCATACAACATCAACAACATCAACATCCTCTCTCTTCTGAATCTAATTGCACTTCAATGTGCTTTTTTAAGGTTCAAACGCCAATGACCCGGACCACCCAGGACGCTTCGTGGGCCATTCTTGGACGCTTCATTCATCTGATCTCCCAGGTGGGGTCCAAGGGTCACCCATCTTTCCGTGAACGTGTTTCACCGCGCCGCTCGTCCCATGTCCACTCACCCCAGGATGTTTCTGGAAGGGTCGAAGAAAAACAAACAAAACCATAACAGTCGTGAAACATGAAAGGGTCATAACATAACAGTTTCTGAAAGGGTCAAAGAAAGAGTCATTGTTCAAAACCATGAACACATATGATTCACATCTTAAATGTTGTGGTCAAGCTACCTCTACCAGCATATACGTGTAATAACCTACACATACATCAATCAATGTGGGTTCTCATCAAACATGAATGTTTCATAATTTTTTCAACCTCTAGGCATATTATGTCACCGCACCCAAAGCCCTGGAACCCTTCAATCTTGGACCCTTGTGTGGGTCGCTTCACCCGAAAACGCCAAGGACCAAAGCACTCCTTCGGTGATTTCACGACGACAGTGCGTGCACCTGGGATTTCGATGCCACGCTCAGACCCGCATCTTGCTGGCCTGGCTGGCGCTGACAGCTGGACAGGGACGGGTATGGGGACGACCTCAACCCCATCCAATCCAAGAACATCGTCCAAAGCATCTGCGGGTCCAGGGGTCTTGTCACAAGACACCAAGTCATCTTCTAGCCTTTTTTTCCGTCTTTTGACATGTAAACGAAAACAATCCTTTTGATATGTCTGGTCCATCAACCACAGCAAGACATCCTCTGAAACTCTGCAAGACATTCCTTCCCGCCTTCAAGACGTCGTGTCCTCCCTTGGCGCTTCAACAGATTGTAGATCCTCTTGACCTTAAGGAAGGCCAACGGGTGCAAGTGGGGTTTGAAGGTTCACCTCCTTTGCTGTCATGTACGTGGACAAATGCACTCGTGGCGGAGTTGCGGACAGTCTGCTCACAATGAGACTGTACTTTTTCATCCCTTGCTACCTGTTTTACTTTTGCCTTGACCGTTACATATGTCTTCTTCCCCTCCGAGGCAGAGGCATTTCTTTCCTTCTGGTTGGCTTCCCCCGTTTCTTTCGAGGATATGATATGCTCTTGCTTAGCAACCCCAGTCCTTCAGAGAACAACATAAATTTACCGACCAAATAGAATGTTTATGAATGTGTTATTTTGCGTCATGTGGCTCATTTGTGACCCTTCATGGTATGTGAGAGCAGAAACATGAGGCACAGTGTAATGTAACATTATAGTTCGTGCACTGATATATTTTATTTTCGATAGTCACTGAATGTCACTGAACACGTCAGAATAGCTGGCAAGTAAGTAGGTGAGAGTTCCCGATACGCCTGTGGGACACTTAGAGACATCGTGACAGTGACATCGTTTCCTTCTGATCGTGGCATCAGCTCGCGATTTTCAACAATAAACGATGATGACTTCTCAAGCCCTTCAATCGCCGAACACCTTCATACTAGTAGCATGGATGGGATTGTGTTTAATTTATATACTTTACTGTACTATAATTTGAGATCGGAGATCGTCTGAGCAAACTATCAGCAAAACAAGCCTTTTTGGACCTTTTTTGGATTTGTCATAGTTAATCAGCCGCTCTGCAATCGTGTGTCTGCTCATTCACGCTTCAAGCATGAACGTCTCATCCACACTTGGAAAATGACATGTTGGTGTTCTGCAATTGCATTTGCGGATACCCTACCAGAATACCGCAAGTCGAATTCTATTCAACCGACCCCCCAGGATCGCACTTCGAACCCATGGGGCACCCTCTGGTATTTCATGTGTAGCCCCAGCAGGCAACACTTTTCACCTGGAAGGGCCTTGTTCCACTTACCATCGACGATCATGACCAGTTCGCCTTCTTGCACATAGAACACTTCGGTTCTACTGTGGCTATGCTGGCCGTAGGAGCCCTCATGCGTCCAAGGATGGTTTGGACTGAACCACCACTTGTGTCAAGAGTGATACTTTCTACGATCTGACTCTGGATCCAGGTACAGGGTATCAACACAAGGATTCTTCAAGCTCTCTGATTCCCGCAGTGCATACAATTCTTCAGCCTGCGTTCTCTTGTTGCGGATTTCAACCTCTTTCTCCAACTTAGCAACTCTACCCTGCAACTTCTCTGCTTTGCTTGTGACACTGTCCTGTTCAATTCCTGTTCTATTTTTTAATCTTTCCAACAGAATGAATGTCTCCAACGGCCCTGGAATGAGATCAACTCTGCATAAGGCATAAGGGAAGTACTATAGACGACTATAAAGTAAAAACTAAACCCCAACCATGCCTGGCACCTGGCACAGAAACAGTTTAGAAAGGAGGAGAGCCGGGCGTGCCCTTCTTGTTCTCTAGGGCCCTGGGTTTGTTGGTTCTGCTTATTTAGGATACCCACCATTCTCACTGAGATCCAATGATCATCCATCGGAAAGTCCAGATAGTCCTTCTTCACAGGTCTGGCAAAAGCCCAGAGCACCACCACTGCCTGGTTCAACGCGACTCGACAAGGGCGCCCGGCTCTTCTCTGCACCATCCAAATGGGCCTCTCAAGGCGTCGAGGGTGCCGCATTCGGAGCATCAAGTTGACCTCATCTTTCCAACGTCATCAATCATACTTCAAGAGACTAACTCCCCCAAGAAGGATGGCTAGCTAGAGATTCACCAATGATTACTAAGAAGCAATTGGGACAAGTTCAAAGCGAAGCACTGAACTGAAACTTAAACTTGAACATGTTAAAATTGTGGCACCGATTCCAAAGGGTACATAAGTGCAATCAGTCTTCTGCTGCGGGTCCCAGCAAAAGGGGCCCTAGGCCGAGTACACAGACTTTTTACGAAAGCCAACATCAGAAAACATGACGCATCACTCTGTGAGCTTGTCATAATCCTGAAGAGAACAGGTCGCTGGAACCAGAAACAGCTCCTGGGCCCATGCCAACCTCCAACAAACGTGGAAGTGGAGAGTGCTTTCAATGGTGTTTCTCCATTTCCACTCTTATGGAAACAGTGGATAGAGGTAGAGTTCTCTTCTGCATATTTCAATATTTCATGTGACCCGACAATCTGAACGGCTCTTACCTTTGGGATGCGGGGAATGTATAGGAATGCCGGATTAGTTTGAGGCTCTTATACTGCAAGAATCGGACTCGCTAACCTTCCAAGCGTGGCATCAGCACAATTGCTTTGGCTTTGATGCATACTCACATCTGCCATGCAACTCACAACAAAAAAAGATGAACGCAAAAGGCCGGTACACCAAGGCAGTATGTGTACAGGGTCTCCAATGTGGTCATTAGGCAATGGAATGCATGTTTGCATCATATGTCTAAGAACCCCGCATGTTCTACGACTGTGAACTGTAAAAACCTAGCAACCAGCCATCCGGCCACAAACCCACCCGCCGACTCATTGACCCACCCAGTAATCCAACTTGCTCCCTTCTCCCTGCTCCCAACATCTCCATCCAGCCCATCTCCACCAAGCCATTCCGGAGCCAAGTCGACCAATCAACGCTGACGGCTCCGCCTCCTGCAGCTTCATCTCGGCTTCCAAGCGGATCTCTTGCCTGGCCAGCTCGGACCAGGCCCGAGCAGCGCTGGGGTGTTTTCTGGTTCCAGCGCTTGATGTCCAATGATTTCGTCCAATGATCCCTTCCCTTTTCCCAACAAAATAGAGTGATAGAGTGAGAACGAGCGATGCAGTATGTAGAGTCCACTCCGGAGAGCTATCTTGGCCCAAAACGATCTGGGTGCCTTTGAAGGGGGAGTCCAAGCCTTGTGTCATTCCTAGTTGCAAAAAGCACCATGATGCAGGAAGAAATGGAGAGAACTTGTATAGCTCCAAAGGCAAACGCCATCACCATCGATGCTATAAATCTGACGCAATGAAGGCACGTTCCATCACCATCACTTTTGCACTCGAGAGCTGTGCTTCATTGCACACTCCGTGCACCAGGTGAAACCTGCAAATCCCAAACAGGATCTGCATAAGATTGCTTTGATTATGTACATTACTAAATCGCTATTTCTGTGTTTGGTCAGCAGCCTGGGCCTAGCAAACCAAACTATCGATGAGTGAGGACAAGCGACGTGCTTGTGTATGCATTATGACCCTCACAGTGCACCCAGACTTGCGCCAATCCCAGTGGACACGATGCAGCGCGATGCAGCTCAGGGTATATCCTGCACACAGGAAGTTTTCAAGCGTGAGGACACCTGTTCATAGAAATGGGCCATCAGGGAAACATCAAGGACCATCTTTCTCCCAACATGTCTTGGCTGTGCTGTATGCCCTTAATTTGTCAACTGCATCTTTATCAAGGCGACCCTGGAGGGCGGTGACCCCGTTTGACCTCCGATGTCCGGGCATTCCCTGGTGCTCCATCAACATCACAAAGCTCCCTCTTCGATGGGTCCAAACACTTGGCCCCAAGCAAAGTGGTGTCATGTTGACTCCCAGGCAGAATCCACAACAAACTACAAACATCGACCTGAACCCTCCAAAGTACCCTGGAAAATCAAGAACATGGGCCGTTATTTCCCACAAAAACAGGTACTGTCACACCTTTCGCGAGATATTTTGGGACTCCAGGTATCAGTCTCCATTTCCACTCAAGACCTCCGAAAAAGCATCACAGAAATGCTCGGCCACTGCCCTCCTCGGAGCTTTCCGGTCGCTGTGGAGCGGCACGTAGGGCGACGCTGCCGCCGCGGCCGCCGCGGCCGAGCCGGACCCGGAGGCGGCCGCGGAGCTAGAGGCTCCTCCAGAGCCGCGCGAAGCGCGGGAGGCCTGGCAGGTTGAGGGAGCTGAAGACCTACGAGCAGTTGTGATGTTATGATCTTGGGTGTATTGGAACACGTGGAGATGACAAATCTCCAGGAGATCTGAGGGAGGTTGGCCAATTTGGCCTGGGGGGCAGGGGAAGTACGGAATTGTATAAATATCAATATCGGAAGACGGGGTCGTCAATCCTTCAGAACGGTAATGTTGGGGTGGGACCCATCATGTGTCCCATGATGACAGTGAGTATAAAGACCCGTCATTGAACATGTGATATTGGTCTTTGTCTTAGCCTTTTCATTAATTGCTCTTTCTGGTCGAACTGACCTATATACCAAGTTCAGCGAAGTTCACTTCAGTGTTTCCTGCTGCGTGTTCCACTCGTGGAACTCGGTCGAACATGCTGTGTGCATCGCCCGAAACTCCTCGGACACCGATCGTCCGAGGACCGAGAGGAGATCAACCTCCCACAGGGTTCTGCACCTGGCCCATGCTTGAAGAGGTTCCTGCAGAGTGGCGAGCAAGAAGCATCAGGGTGCATTCTTTTCTGGATAGGGCATTGGTAACCTTTTGGTCCAACAGTGCGGAACATCTTCCAGGTGTATCATACATAGAACATAACTAGTCCTCAAACCTGCCCTATTTTCTTGTTTGTGCGGGATTTGACGGGTAATGGCCCGCCCCCTCTGCCTGGTGACCTGTCTGCCTCTTTGAACCCGGGCGTCCCACAGGACCATACCGGCGCTTCCCCACACAGCTGTGGATCATGGCACTCCCCACCGAGTAAGAGGCAAACCACCAACACAAAGGGGGTGAACACGATGTCCGATGACATAGCGACCTGGCTGTGAGAGTCCAGGTTGCGATCCACACCGGAACCAGCACCTTCACGTTGGTTTGTGGTGGGATTCTGCAGATTCCTATGGATTCCAGCACCAGTACGCGGAACCACCTTCCACCGGTGCCTCCGAGCAAGGGTTGGTTCTCCGTGGTCGCCACGCTGGGAGGCTGAAACCCCATTCGGCCTCGGTCTGGCAGGTTGGGTGGTCCATGACCTCTTGAATATAAATCAAAGAAGCAGTCTGCCATAGGTAGCATCAGAATAACAAGGTGCAGTAGATCTTTACTGATTCTTCTTGTAGGGTTCTCTCATTCTCTCATCTCTGGTCGCAAGCAAAAGCACCACAGGAGGATGGGAATTCCAGAATTTGGAACGTGGTGATTCGGCTCCAATTGAACCTTCCTCCATTTGTGCCCACTTTGTGCGCAATCAACAAGGTCCTCCCCTCCGGCTCCCACCTCTGCTGATCACCTCCCCTTTCGCCATGTCACGGAAGCCCCTCGTGACCTTCGCGGGCGGCGGCGGCGGCACCAAGGGCAGCTGCGGCAACGTCGGCCGCCCCAACGTCGAGGCGGCTGGGCCCTGGGCGCGCAGCATCCGACGGCTCACGACTTTGGAGCCCTAGTCGTACAGGTGACCGCTGGTGGCACTGGTTTGGCCGTACTAGGTGGGCGGTTTGTGGATAATGAAGGACTGGCGATTGATGATTGATGATGTATGTCGATGCAACTCCCCATGAAGACTCCATCCTGAAGCTGTTTGGTTGGACAGAGTTCAATTCAATTCACAGACCCAGGCGTTATAGGACAAATAATTACAGTTATTATTGTTTATTGTTGCTGAGCAGATTTGGCGATCAGTCAGTGACCCCTCGCCCTACTTCCTCAAATATCTTCCCTTAAGACTACGTTGGTTCTTGATCAAGATCGCCCTGAAACTCACAAGACTGAGACATGATACAGGTTTTGAATCCTGGCTGACATCGTCATCCGATGCTTATGATCAAAAATAAAACAACAACAACAACAACAACAACAACAACAAGAGTCATTCAGTCCCCAAACAAACATTCCTCCCACCCAAAACAGAGACTTCACCTTCTAACACCCAGATCAGGGAGGGCGCGCCTGGCCCGGCACAGCCAGCTGTCGACCACCCGGGTCCTGCGCTCTGTCGCCCACCATCCGAAGACCGGTTCCAGGGGGCGTTCACTCCACTTCCATGTTAGTTCCAGGGAGTGTTTTAGCTTTCCTCATGATGTTGGGCTTTTGCTGGCTTTCGTATTTCATGCATATGTTCTGGCTAATTATAGTCGTTGATGTACATTTGGCTGAAGTCGGTTGTCTTCTCTTTAGCATAATCACACTGCCTCGCATCTGATCACCAGATGTAATTTCAAGTAAACCACCCTGCACACAGAACTGTAGCTGACCACGACCCTGAGCTCCTAGCGTGTATCTCGCAAAACCCACATAGATTAGACCCTGAAACCAAACCCTCAGAACTTGCTTCTTCATGTTCCAGCGGCTTTGGGATTCTTGTCAATCTGGGTGAATCTCCGCCACGTTCCACTCTCCCACCCAAGCCCCTCACCCACCCGTCTCTCCCTATTGGCAGCATTCATCGCCAACGCAGGTGGCGGTGGATTCTTGGGCATTTTTGCCAGAGCTTGTTCCTTGAGCTTCTCCACATAGGCCTCGCAAGGCGTCCGCCACAAGGAGCTCATTTCATTCTTGGGCTCTGGGAAATCCCAAAAAACTCCATGTATGGATCAATGCAATTAAGCAAAACAAGCAAATATGCCATATAGGTGAGTTCATTTTGTTCCGTTTTTCTTTGGCCTCTTTTTTGGTGGGAAGACCTCCCTGCTACCCCACGCCCATCTGCCTGCCGTTTCTGCTGCTGCTTGCTGGTGATCTGCACACACATCTCATCTTCCGCCACGCCGCCCAGGCTTTCTGGCGGTCGCTGCCGGAAAGCCAACCCCCAGGGTTGGACGCATGCCCCGGACAGTGGAGTTACACTGAAACGGAACACCCCCCCCCTTGGTGCGAAGTAACACCCACTCGCATGATCGTTGGAGACAAGGGCATCGTAGAGATCCAATGGAAAGAGACGAGGGATCTGATCCGATGGATTCATACAAGTTGTGCTTTGCTATCCAACAATGTGTGGATGTGGAAGTTTTGTTTGGGAGGGACGGGGCAAGGACAAACTCTGAACCACCAAAGTATTAACTCAAATGTGAGGTGGATTCTCCGCTGAACTGCAAAATGTGTTTAAAATGTTTAAAACTCAAGCATGATGGCCGGCCACTCATCAATAAGGCTGGCTCGATTCCTTTTTGAATTCTATTCTCAAATCAACCACACAGGGCAACCAAACAAAAAGAACACGAAATTGCATCATCAATTTTATGGTTTTTGTTTCTTTTTACTACATTGATTTGTTTTTACCCGTTTTCTCTTGCAGGTGGCTCTTTGCGACGAAACAAGAAAAGAGCCCCTGGGTCTCCGCGCGGTGGAAGCTGCGCATCCGGTCGCCGCCCTGACGCTGGAACTCCCCACCCGGCGCCTCAGGGTGAGCCCAGCCGGTGACTCCGGGCGACGCGACCGTCGGCGACGTACGGAGTCTCGTCCCCAGAGGTGACCAAGTCGGTGCTTCGAAAGACGGTCCTCAGAACCGAAGTCGAAGACGGGGACCTCATCAACTGGGATCTCATACGAACCGGTGTGTGATTTTGGTGAGAAAATCCATGTGAACTCTCAGGGAGGGCCGAGACGAGGGTGGGTCGGATGTTTGGAGCTCGTTGTGAGCTCCAGTTCAACGGGATGACATGGCAACAGGTTTGGTACTCTGAAGACCAAACAGGGATGAACTCAACACCATCAGGACATTGGGTATCTGACACCCTCAGTTTCAAGTTTCCATGGAAATAGCGGTTAACCTTAGTGGGGAAACCAATTCCAAGCTAAATCTTATCCACTGTCTGGGTATGGTCCATGGTCTCATATACACCTTCCGAACGTCGCTCGTCCATATTTCCTCAGGCGTGGACAGGCAAACGCCTGAAGCTATGCGCAAGCTGCTTCTGCATCATCTGGATCTCTTGACCTAGAACATCATTTTGGTTGGATGCCGGACAACATCTGTCAAAAGCAAGCAGTCGCTCATCAACACAAGCGAAGTATCCTCTTAAATAAACGTATCCGTATCTGCGGATGCTCAACCCTTGCCATCCCAATAGTGTGATGTTCTGTTGAGAGTAAAGAACATATCAGAGTCCACTCCTACCTGATGGTGACAATCTGCAAGTCAGATGTTGATGACTGGTGGTATGACCCATGTCCCAAGCAAGAAGCCACACACCACCCAAGAAATGAACACTGAATCTGAGATCCAAGAATGCATCACTCCCTGCCCCCCTGCTGATCAGCTCTATTTAAGCAGCTTTACATGGAAGCTTGCTCAGCCTCAAATCATCACAAAAAAAGAACATTTGACAAACTCAATCAACAAACCCATGGCCCCACTAAAAAATAGAACAACTGGGTCCAACACATCCCACAGGATGTGGGGACATGAGGTGTGTTGAACATAACCGAACGGTCATAGTGTATATGTCTGCACTTTTTTGGATGCAGTCTACAAATACCCTCCGCGGTCTGAATCTGCTTGTGTTCCACCTTGCTGGTCGTCTCGGCCAAAACTCAGTGGTTTCAACTGAGCTGTGCACCATCCAACTTGCCAGCCTCGGTCCGTGCGATTCTGAAAAGATGTGCGGCTTTGTACCGCTCCCGAACTCCCAAGTATCCACGAAGCTGACATCCATGGTGGGTGAGCTGGACATCTTTCTACTTGGTTTTACTTTCAATCCAAATTCAGCCAAGTCCGCAGGGAAATCTGATCGACAATGATTTCGTCAATTGATCGGGGAAATCGAATTCAGTCCAAATGTCACCTATATATATAATTCTTTGTGCATTCTAGAGTCTTTACACAGCAAAGTTGAACAAACCTCTTCTGAATAATTTGTAGTTAGGGGATGTTAGGGGATCTTCTTTACTGATCCCATGGGCCAAGGAGCGAGGATGTGAAATGAGAATCCAAGCTGTGGATCCTAGAAGCCTGCTTCACATGCAGAGCTGGCTGTTCCAAGGCTTCAATCTTTAAAGTCCGAAAGAACTCCCAAACACCAACGAAGGACCTCCTTTCGGTGGAGGCCATCGCTACGAACGGAGCAAGGACGCTAATTCCTGGGCAGCCCACAGGACTCATGGGGCAGTTGAAGATGGTCCACTTGGTCACTCACACACCGTCGCTGGACTCCACCGTCGCAGATTTACATGCCTCATGCCTCATGCGTGGCTTCAAAAGAATGGGTGCGCCGTCTCAGACTCCCCGGTCGCGTGGGTCGCGTCGTGCCAGTCCCAGTCCCAAGCTGATGCGATTCTTTGGACCCCGAAATGGAGAACGGAGCAGACTTGGCACCTCCTGACCTGCTGTCCAAAACAGTACTACGCCACATGATGCGTTTGGGCTGTTGACCTAGCCAATCACTACGCCAAGATGCGTCAGGAGCCCAAAGTTCTAGGGCTGCATCCTTCTCCTTCTTCTTCTTCCTAAGCATCGCAGTCTCTGGTCCCAAATGCTGTTTCCGACGGCCACCGGATACACCAACTCCCCGAAAGTCGTTGAGATGTTGAAGTGGTTCGGACAAAACCACTCCCAACAGGAGATCCTTTTTGCATCTTCACTGGAGGGAAACCGATCCAAACGACGTCGTCTGATAGAAGTAGTACTCCCTGAAGTGATCATGGAAGTGAAGTTCACTACCTTTTTGTAGAGGAACATGGTCATCCAAGAGGCCATTTTCTACTTCCATGCTTGCTCCCTTTTTGAGGTCTGTCCTGGCCCGCCGAGACATATTGTCCCTCGGATGCCCATCCCTGTCGAGTCTAAGGAGACGGAGTCAACACCTGCCAAACAAGACTGACCATATGATCTTAAATCAATGTGGGCTAAACACACAATACCTTCGACAACCTCATGCAGCTTTTCTTGTAGATGATTCAACCCCACAGCTCTACTGCCCTAATCTCGAGCTGAAGTTTTTTTGCGAGAAGCATTAAGGCCCACAAATGCAAGAAAGGACTCGCCGCATGCATGTGGTTGACAAAAAATCGGTTTATCCTGAAAGTGTACGCCTTCATCGGTTTGCTTACCAATTCACGGTATGATACGGTATGCTATATTGGAGGGATCAGGGGCCAATGTTGGCATATAATTTGCCGATCTTATTCTATCATTTGCATATCATTACATGGAGTGTCTGGGAGATGTTCAATGAACCCTCAACCTTCTTACTGTAGTTTGTGACCTTGGCTTCGTCTCGGCCCTCGCGACGCCCTCAATCAGCCCTAAACATCCAAGCATCTTTCGGCCACGTTGTCGTACCTCGGCAGCACCCGTAACAAGAAGCTACTAGGGTGAAGCCCATCGCTACTATGGTGGAGGCCATTGTTAAGGCCTTTTGCTACCAGGAAAAGTCGCAGTTGAGGGTCTCTTCGACAAACATGGGCACACACACAGAATTTGGACACATGCGTTGATCTGACAGGGTCTGTTTTTCAATTTTATATAGATTTCACATGTGATCTGAATGGTGGCTTGCGCCTTGCAACACATGTGATACATATCTCTGTTTTTATGTAAATAATGGCATGGCAAGCTTGATTTGTCTTTTCCCTTTGAACAAAACAAATGCAGTTTCAATTGCAATAAGCAAAGAATCCTCCAACCAGACAACTCCGTTGGAGAGCCATACTTCTATTAATGGATTCTACCAGTATGGCCATTCTTAAATCAGTTATGATAATATGAATCATATCGACTCATTAATGTATTTCTATGGGTCCACCGGCAAGGAACACTGGATTCATCCTCTGGGAAACACAACGCCCGTGCGCCCAGCGCCCCTTGCCGCGAGCTACATGGTTTCCGTCATCGAAGTCATCCTCCTCCTGGCGGCCCCTGCAGAGTTCAATAATGATTCAAAGAGTGAGGTAGGGGCCCAGGATCATGGGAGAGAGAGAGAGAGTCAGAGTCAGAGTCAACAACAAAGAGAGAGGATAAATAGGGGTAGAGTTCATAGAGCTCCACTTCCTCAAATATCCCATGAAGGGGGTCTCTAGATCAAGACCCTGTGGTTGCTTTGACAAACATGCATGTCAAGTCAGATTTGCATCAAAGGCAAAATGGCAGGTGCTTTACAAACAAAACCTTACAAATTCAGGCGTGGAAAATGTAAAGCTAGGTCGTTCTTGTTGCTTGCATCTCAGAAACAAACAAGTAATAAGTTATGATCCCCAACACACCTGCCTACACGTCAATAAAACAAAGAAACAACCATCTTCTCACCCGCATCCTGGCCCTTTGGTACTCACATGCATTTTGCTTTAATAGCGAGCAACTGAACACTTCCCTCTGACTGCTGCCATGCGTCTCTTGCGAGACGTTCAGGTTCAGTCCAACTGGCACGCCTTTCTTTCGAGCCTGGAAGAGCACACATCGCTAGTTTTCAAACACCTGAAGCATCTGAAGCATCCTCTCCTGACAGCAAGCAGTATTAATAAAGTTGTATTTCGGAGATACCATTCAACATGCACCGTAGGGGGAAAAACACCACTGACAGCTTCTCGGAACCTGAAAGCCCCTTTACCTCCGAGATTCAAATCTAGGAACATTCAAGAGTCAGAGTAGTCTCTTGTTCTGGATATTTGTCCATTTGCCCTGAGTTGTTGATCTATGCTTACCTTTAACAACAGGTGTTTGGTGGGTCCGTTTCGGTGTCAAAGTGGTCAGGCCTTTTCCGTTCGCTAAGACTTTGAAGAACACTTCATAAGTGGGTTAGGATCAAGTTGTTTGCAAGCCACTTCACTAATTGTTCAAGGACCAACAAGTGGCCCATGCTGGAGTCTCATTGGCGGGGCCCCGGTCCCCTGATTGGACCTGGCATTTGTTCAACTGTTGGCTTAGCGCCACAAGGATTCCAAGGATCAGCAAACAAATGAAAAACAAACAAGCAGTTCCAAAGGGGTGCTTTTTGGTTATGAGTGTGTGGATAACGTGCACTCTACCCTCCAATAGGCACCCCGTTGGAACTGCTGGTCTTCCAAGGGTGATTCTTGTCATGATGGGTAGCTGCAGGGAAGTCAACAGCTGAAACCCCTGCGTCGCAGGACAGGTCAGCAAGGGGGAGCTGACCTGCCACACATTCCTCTGCCACTCATCTGGCATCCGACTGCCTCATTTTTTTGCAAGCGGAGCTCTTCCGTTGCGATGCGGAAATCGCCTCAAAAGAAGCAGCGCAATGGGGAGAAGAGCGAAGTCGGGGGGGCAGCTTTACAAAATGTGTCTGTTTCCCGGGAAGGTTAATGTGCTCATATCCTGAAAGGCTTATGGTGTGTGAAATTCTGTAGTATGTTACTATGTTTGTCAAATCTCTCTCCTAGCATTCTCGAGCCTTTTCATGTAGTCACTGGGATGTTTTTTGGGGAAATGAAACAATCATGAGATCGGTCACTAAATCTGAATCGAGTGTCACTAGAAGCGCACCTGGCACACATCACAAGATGAGCCCACACCATCCCACACCCTTGGACTTATTGAACCTCTGAAAGTTCTGAGGTTTCGCCACTTCCTTCTTTTGCCTTCACCACTTAAAGCATCCTTCGATCCACCACCCAAATCCGCATGGACATGGATCTGACCTCGGACGTCCCGCCCAAACGGACGTCCCGGCCCAAGGGATTTTGCTTCTTCGGATCAACCTCCTGATGGGACCCAAGTGGCTGATCCGCTCGATGAGCCGCTCACAGCTCAGGACCTCTGTCACAGCAGGTGGATCGGTTTGTTTTTCCTTTTGGACGATGTAGGGTATATCCTACTAATATAGAACTATCGTGTATTTCACGTCAACTACATATATATATATATAAATCACTCTTCTCACAGGTTTAAGGTTTCATACATCTTCATGTTTTCCGTGGTGTTCACACCTCCAACCAAGCCTCAAAGCATCCTGCTTTCATGTCAGAGTGACTGGTCACACCCCTCCCAAGTGATGGTCAGCCGAGCCACCGTCTTTTTCAGCTCTCGGATCAAAGGATCTTGCTTGGCACGCTCCGAGACCGCCCCAGCGACGATGGAGGCTGTGAAAAACACCTGATTGACGATGGATCGACCCAGGACCGGGCGAAGAACGCAATCGACCCATTGTCAAACACCCTGCAATATGGATACGACCCGGGATGGAATTGATCGGGTCCAAAAGCAAAGAGAAGAACAGCACTGAACATGATTTTATATGATTTTGTTTTTGCCTGTTTTGATCTGATTTGCTGTTCTTCGGTCAAAGAGTCTTCTGGATTTTTTAGCAACATCCTAGTCGACCTGCATGTTGGGGCTTGTCGGTTCGCTCAGGCTTTGTTCGACTTCAGTTGCAAAACCTTTGGTCAGGTATATTATGTATCTTTATGTCCTGAGCATCAAATACTCCCATTCATGGTGCGTAGTTGTCGTGGAGTTCTCCAAAAAAACATCCAGGATATGGGATCCAAAGCCTTTATGTTCCCTCCTTAAGGAAGAACCGAGTACGCCAGCAAGCTAAATCTGAAGCGGTTTTCAGGATTAGTTTCTTCAACTCGATGCAATCTCTTGCCAAGTTGCCATCGCAGACAGGAATTGTTTACCTTGGACACCACATGCCCAAAGTGCGCGCTGTCCGCGCACGACAGCCACGAGCCGATTGGAGAATGGGTCAAAGGTAATGATCTCAGCATTTTTCAGCTGCTGCCAAGATGCTAGAAAGAAAGAACACCATCATGAGCCTTGGATGCATTGATCAAATTGAAGTTAAGTCGGATGCAAAGAAGCATCGAATCGAAAAGGCCGGACGCATATTCACGCAATTGACATGCCGCATGGCTCAAAGAAACTGCACCTCATTCTTCCAGGGCCACCCCGAAACACCTGTGATTGAGATCAAAAACAGCAGGGCTTCACACTGCCCCTTGACCCCACGGTGGTCCTTCACCTTGCCCCTCATATTGCAAGACCCAAGGCTCTGAGGTGGTGTGTTGTTCAATGAAGTGAAGGCTGTCAAGAGCATCAACATACCTCGGTCCAAACCGCCCGAGTCGACGCGTAGGATGGCCGGGCAGTTGGAGTTCGAAAGGGTGGATGAACATCTCTGGTGGCAACAATTAGACGGACCTCAAAACAGGCCAAGGGTCTACAGCTGTAGTGATTTCACGCCAAGGAAGTTGGTATGCACTTTGTGCATGTTCTTCCACCATGAAGATCCACCCAAATCTGTTGAGAAACATGACGTGCTGGCTGGCGATGAAAAAGCATGAAAACGCCAATAGCACTCCCAATGATCTTTCCATAATATACTTGGTAGGTCTGAACAACGCCACCAGTGCGAGGAGACATCTCTACCCACCTGCACCGGATCGTTTCAGAATAGGTAGGACTTGAGAAGCCACCTGCCCGACAATATAAGAACACTGATTGGTTGGATGGGGTGGTTGTATCACCCGCATACACCCTGTTGAGATACAGTGAGCATCTCATGACAATCTCTCACAACCGCTCCTGAGACGAACCTGTCGCTGAATGATGCGCAAATTCTTGAGCTGAGCTGCAGAGTGAAAACATCACAAGCCTCGTGAGTCAGCAGAGAGTTGCAACCACGGGGATATTGTGTAGCTCGTGTGTCATGTTTCTCGGTCGCTTTCTGGTTTGGCTGGCTTAGGACCGTGACCTTGACCCTGAGAAAAAGATTTGACCACATTGGACTGGTTCTCCAGTTCTCACTGCACAACGACAAATCTGGTTCCAACGCATGACAAACAAACTGCTTGACCAACACCAGTCAGGTTTGAAGCAGCAACATTTAGACTCAGAATTTAGAACGTTCTAGTTCTGATGTTTCTCCGTTCTGCCTAACTGACCAACGTTTCCATTTGACTGTCAGATTGTTCCACGTGACGCTGGGCCTCAGGCCGAGCAAGCTCGCTGTTGCTTCATGAATTCAATCAACATTGAATTTTCCAGCAAACTGTTTGGACTAAGTCCTTTCCTAAACAACCAGTCAGAGTAGGTGACATGACAAGATGGGAGCACCCAAATACCTGCAATCTCTCAAGACCTGCAATCTCTCGGTGCTATGGATGAGGATGGTCATCTTCAGATCATTCCAAGCTGCTGCATGACGATCAAGGTCGAGGAGAAGTTCTTGAGCTTCGCCGCCCGTGCTCGCCGGACCCTGAGAAGACTCGAGTTGACCGGACGAACGACGGAGAAGACTCGGAACCCAGCGCTGACCCGACCACAGCAAAGAACAGTCTGGTTCCTCAGGTTCCGACCGCTAAGCTTTTGGGGAAGTCTTTCAAGTTTGCACAAAGCTTTGAACCAGATGACAAAGCTTCCACTGCTCAAGATGGTTGTGTGGGCGCCAGTGTGGGCGCCATCGAGACACACCCCCAAAGACAACATTCAAAGCCAGGCTCAACGGCTGCAGTCCATGCATCCAAGAGTCGCAATACTGGCATTGGCCGAATCAACTACGCCTGTGCAGGATTGGCATGTGCAAGCCCACAGAGGTCGGGTAAGTCGGGAATGTCTGATCATATTCAGATCCATTTCATGGTTGAGGCAAACAGTTGTGTCCTCGGTAAAATCAATAAGATGCACATGGCTAAACCAACTGCCAAGAAACGGAACACACACACACGCTTTGAACCCAGCCTTTCAAACGCATCCGCATCACTTCTTCTCTCATGTCCTGAAAAGCCGAACCAGGCATGGTTACGACACATGCAATGCAAGGCTACCAAACCCCTGTGAATTTCTTCTCTGTTGTACATGTTGCAATGCGCCCTCAAACATTCCTATAGGACGTTTGGGCGCACAGCTAAGACTCTCTGGAAAATGAGCCCCTTTGAAGCTGGGGGCTACTCTCCTGATGCCTACTGAACAAGATCCTTTGGCCTTGGCCGTCCTCCTGGATCATGGAACGGGGATTGCGGCGCTCCCATTCCTGCCACCGCCGTCCACAAGAACATCATGTCTTAATGCTGCAACAAACAAAAAAAAAGGTGATTACCTCCAAGCATTTGGCTGGAATGACTGTGGTTTGGCCTGGTCCAATGGCAGCTTACTACTCAAACTAGGGTACATATATGCTGTATAATGAAGCGTTCTACAGTTCTACATCACATGCCGATACGGTACATCGTGGAGTCTAAGTGGTTCAGGCATTGGAAGGACATCATCATCGGATGTCATGTCGGCGCAACGTCCTGAACACATCGTTCAAGATCCCGGTATTCGTAGATGAGATCTGGGCTGCGGGTGTAGACCTCAAAGAGCGGATTCGACCGATTCGTGCCGAAATGGCTCAGGCTGAGGGCCTTGGCCAATCAGCGACCGGTCACATCCGAAGTCACAGCTTTGGCCGGTCCAAGTTCGAGAATGTTTCGTGGAGCCCACATCAATCAAAACCAGTCTGAACATACTTACATTTAGCTTAAGCAGGAGAAAGGAATTCTCTCCGGGTCATGCTAGGCATGCTCAGTTTCTTCAAAACTCGAAGCTCTTCAAATGCCTGCAGGCATTTGGAGCGCAATGCTGCACCCGAGGTCGTGCCTCGAATTGGAAGGTCTGCAATGATTGGCCGGTCTCACCAGGAGCCAATTGCTTGATCTTTCCTCAGGAAGAGGCTGAGGGTCTGAAAAGCTGTTGGACTGGTGAAGGGAAAATATTCAGGGACTGGTGTCAATCGTCTGACGCAAGGGACATGAAGCTCAGGATTTCATCTCTCGTCTCATGGGCAGGCCAACTTGAGGAAACAAGCAATATCAAGCAATCATTGGCACAAGAGCTTGGATGCCAGCCCCTAAGGACACAAGCAAAAGGGCGGTTGCACCAAGTCTACCTCATCATGCAGTATTCATAGAATATCATACATTTTGCTTGGTGTCGGGGGGGACCCTGAACACAATTTCCACAATCGTACAGCCCATGAAACAGGCTGTGATTTTCAAGAACAACTACGTACCATTACCAGCTTTCCCACAAAACTGCAATAGCTCTCGATGAAGTGCATTGGAAGCATCTATAGCACGACTTGTATTCAACACATGGCTAAATATAGATCGTACATGAGAGTTTCAGCAGTGTTAACAAACTTTGAAACTCTTTTGACTTCATGATGACTGCACCTTGCCTTGCATATACCGTCTAATTACAGCATATGGAACAGTGAACGTGTCTTCATTTTCCCGATACTCGTCGTCTCAATTCTCTATGCATGCAAAGTACAATTGGTGCATGAGATATTCCCCTCATCTCTTTGATCTATATGCCGTCATTTGTTCATCTCACTGGGCTTTCACCAAACAAACTCACCCAAATAGCCCTATCACCACTAATGATATAATCTATTATAATCTATATGCTAATAAGTTCCCACCAATCCACTGGGACAACAGAAACAATCGCTACATCAAAACCCTGAATCAATCAAAAACCCACCAAAAGAAACATCACATCCCCTTAATCACAAGAAAGAACATCCTTGTCTTGTTTCAAACACCAAACGGTCACCAAACACACACGCGTTTTGGACACCCACCGCGCTTGTGGGAAGCTGTTGGACCCGCTTTCACCGCAACAGTCGCTTTCGGCCCAGAGACGGACCACCTGCCTCTGCCGGTCCGACTCCAGGTCCCCGAACCTCGGTGGAGGCTGAAAATACTGTCAAAAACACTGTAAGGTTTGTTTATCACTAAACGCTGAGTTGAATTGATTTGTTTTGTACCAGTTTGTAAGTGATGTTCGGTTCTAAGAATTGAATTCCAGCTCAATGGATCTCAAAGGTCACTTTGAAGAACCAGGTTAACCCATGAATTTGTCTCACGTAAGAAAAAAATATCAATTCAGGTATATACCAGTTCTGAGCCCGCAGCTCCGCAGAACACTCCGTGTTCTATACATTTGTATTGAGAGATTTGATTTGTTGGGAGTCAAAAACAGGAAGGAACAAAGCTTGCGAAATAAAGTTATGATGTCTTATGCATACTCTCTTCCTGCAATCTTTCAGGTGTGGAGTGTGGAGTTGTTTTCACGATCTTCTCTTACCTCCACACTGGGAGACAAGCACTTCAATGCTTGTCCCACAATGGCAAAGTGGTCCCTGCGACAGGAGCCGTGACCCTGAAAGCACACCCTACAAGACCTCCATGGTCCGAGGCAGTGGCTTGCATGACCCGCACTTGCAAGGATCTATCCACCAAACGCCCATGTATGCGCATGCATTGAGAAGTAGGACATCCACCAGTCAGGTCAATGATGTTCTTTTGGGAATAATAGAGGGGTCAGTTGGGTACCATTCACCCATTGGATGGGTTGTACACTTGGGGGGCATCCCCTCTACCAACCAACCAACCAATAGCAAAAGGATGTAAAAGGCGATCTATGAGTCGGGTTGGATCAAAATTAACAGATTTCTGGGCTGTCCAGGTGATTTATGGGTCACCCGTCACCCCTGTGACATCCTAGGCATGTAAGGACTCTACATCTGTTGAGCACTCGATTACTGCACTAACCTAAGACTGGTTCGAAGGAAGGAATTGTTATGGAATTGTTCACAAAACTGCCCAAAAATATTCAACAAAAACAAATGTGATACGTATGAACACAACTATGCGCTCACCTTGCCTTTCTTGAGATGAAGCCAAGGATGTCCAAGGATGAATATGCAACTCTATTTTCTTTTCAGTGGTCGACCTTGTTCTCACAAAGATGGCTAGATACATTCACAATCGAACAAACAGATCTGCGCTTGAAGAGACATGCGAGCTTCCACCAGCTTTTGAGGCCAGATGCTTGAACTTGCTATCCTGCTCTTGCCACTCCAAGGGGGGGCAAATGCCTCAGCTGAACTCCGGTTATATCCCAGCAACCCACATCAGTGAAGTGGCAGAACCTAAGTCAGATTTGTTCAGCTCATTCTGGCCCGGCACATGTTCATACATGTTCCCCCAGTGCCTTTCTCCCAGGCCCATCTGAAGTTCTCCTTCAGCTCATGATTTCTCCATCGCACACGGCTAAGTCCCAAACAGCTGCTGTACATCTACTCGCTCAACGAAGCTGGAGCCTGTCGGTAACCGGACGAGCGCCAGGCGCGACGAGCGCTTGGCGCTGTCGGTTCAAAGACAACGAGGTGCTAAACAGCTGCGAACGAAGATGTGGTTACCTACTGGGATTCTAGAACTGAGAACGAGGGGGACTGCATATTCATGCATATTAAATATGAGCAAGGAGGGCGACCTATGGACAAAAATGACATGCAGCTGCATGGCATGGTATATGTTTAGAACATATGACATGCATGTAGCAACGCCTGGCAGCTTAGCACTTTCAAGTTGTTTTTCATGGTCACAAATCATCAATAGGGCACCCAAACCAAACCACCAGGTGGACACCCTGTGAAGCAGACAAGCAACATGCATCTCGAATTTGTCGACAACACCTGGTTGAAATCCGACGCGCGCCTTTCCCTGGCCCTCGGAACCATTGATATCTCAATGCCTGTGCCGATTTGGATTTCGTCGGGTCACGCACAATGGGTTTGGAATGTGGTGCACTGCTTGCACGAGAAAATACATTGAAAAACAGATCTTGGAGATGCTCAACATGTCTTGAACGTGTGATGTGCAAAATGTCTTGGACAAGCAAATGCTCAGAACGGGCAAGTGCAATCTTTCAGTGCACCAAAAAGACAACGATCATTCGCCCGTTGGATGATGGATGATCGTCAATGGCGCCGCCTCACCATGAAGCCCTACGGATCCACTACCACCCTCTGAACGGGATCACCTGCATGTGTTCGACACGTTAGGCGCCCAGTGTCGGATCCAGTCGTACCGAACCTGAGAAGGTGGCAGTGGATCCCTTGGCTTGGGAAAGAACAAGCTTGTCGTGGTGGGTGTCCTACCGCCGTTCCAAGGCCCTGGTGTTTTGGCTTCGGAAGCGGACGAGGTTGCTGGTTTCGCCTTCCAGAGCTTGATCCGCACGACGGGGTTGAAGGTCACACCACAGCGGGCTTCCACTTCCAACAAGATCTGCTCCACCTGAAAGCGAGCTTGATCCGCATCGATGTGGAACACACACACTGTGCTTGCAGAACCGGTTCAGAATGCATCCTAAAAGGCACCCCAAAAAAGAGAGAAACTGCAACCCAAGAAAAGAACATGAGATACAGGGTGAGATCAATTCGCCTGCCTGAGCTCGACCTTACGTCAAACTCCAACTCACTAATCGCGGATGCCTGAATGACCGGGTGACTGGGTGTTTCCAGGCCCCAAAACAAATTCGTGACATGATATGTATACTCTATATTGACCCCGGCCCCAGAGTGGGCCACAATGCAACAAAATGCTACATGCCACATTGGATTAGTTTGAAATATTATGATACATTTCACAAAAGGATGGCTTTGGGGGTGCTTCTTTCCACGATTGAGTAACTACGTACATACTGATGTATACCGTCATGACCCAAATGACGGAACTTCCACATCACTCAGCACAACCTGACACTTCGCTCGCCTTCAAATCACTCGCATGTGTCATGGCATCGAACATCGAATGGCCAGCCTCGCAGCTGCGGTTTGTGTCGGGAGACAAACGAGACTCAAGTCCAAAGAGCAAAGCAAATTCTTCAGGCGCCAGAACATTCACCGAATTATCTGCAAGTTCTTGCAAATCTTCGATGTCGTGGCCCCAACTCCTTCGGACTGGACATCCGGTTGGAGGACAAAGATATACAGTAACTCGATAGACCAGTCTCACGGCCCGACTGACCAGTCACGGTCGCCTGGTCAAAGTACTTGTAGAATTCATCCAGACCTGATGCTGCCAACAACACCTGGCCGGTGGGAGCAAGAGGACGCTACGTTCGGAGCAAGGGGCATCGCTACGAACGGAGCAAGGACGCTACGAACGGGGCTCCTGGCCTTACTACTAGGAACAAAAAAGCTACTAGTAACAGGCGGGGCACTAAACCTGTGCGACGGGCCTTGCGGAGACATCGGTTGAGTGGCGGCAAATGTCTCCGCCAGGGCTTCTGCGAAAGGAGTTTTGTCATGTTTTGTCTACGGTTGAGACCATGCATTCCATCAAACCGCAAGCTTGGTGATTTCATTGATTGCCATAGTTACAGTATTATTGTTCTTGAATGTTGCTGTTCTGTTTCATCAAACTGTTACTCATACAACTTGCCATGAACTCTGTCAACCTTTCTGGCCCAGCAGCCCCCCGGCCGCACAACAAACCACAGAAACACCTCGTCAAATCCCTTGACGGTCACTAGTTTAGCTTTGCTTAGAGCAAACATATCACAAAACGAGTCGCCCATAGCCATAGCGGCCGGTGCCGCAAAGATTCCTGGTCCACTTCAAAGCCACCGTGTGAAGTCCTTGTCCCGAGTCCCTTGTCTGCCGCCTGTGTTGACATCAGGTCCTTCTTCTTGTCCTTCGGCATGGTTGTCGGCAATGAACTGAACCCACTCGGGGCACACTTGGCAGATCTCGGCAGATTCGGCGCAGTGGCTTAGTGCCACCGGTCACATCTGGCCATGGGCCCAAGGCACAAGAAACGAATGGCGCTGTTGTGGGGTTGTCATAGGTTCATGTGGCGCTTTAGATTCAACTGGAATACAAGAAGCTTAAAGAAGCCAGCTTCATTTCGACCTCGTTTCTTTGCTTTTAGACCTCAGGCCAAAAAAAGGAAATCCGACCATGAATCTATGACTGTAGTCAAAACATATAGTCAAAATATACACCTTTTCCGGCAAGGACTCGCCAACAAAAACTGCACATGCTTGCGGCTACAACAGGGCATGGCACTGGAAGGAACCTCATTAGATGGCTTGCAGGTCGTTTTTGTTACTGGCCTTTTTAGATCGGTTCAGCCGAAGGAATATGATGTGTGGATTGGGAGGCTTTTGATGCGCAACACGGCAAGACAACAAAGTTCTTTTGCGAACATGCTTTGGCTCCGGGATTGTCCAAGAAAGCATTTGAATCATGATACATCCATGATACATATACTGTACTCTGAGCCAAATGGCAAATACATGGTGGTTCCACAGACTTTAGGGACAACACGACGCCATACAGCTCCGGCTCCTCATGACACATCTTGCTGTTGAGGCACCAAGGAAACCTCACTAACACCATGCCACCATGCCAATTTTGATATTATCTTCCGATGATAAAAACGCATGAACACCAGGTGTGGACAGTTCAATAAGCACGGCAATGGGGTATCCCTCCATTCCACTACACTACACCTTTGGCCCGAAACCAAACAACGCGGCGCGCGGCGCATTCCGTGGGAGAGAAACCGCGGGAATCGCGCGGTGGCGCACGTGTTGATGCGGTTCAAAGGAGATCGATTCTTCAGGTGGTTCTGCAACCTCAGCCGACGCAGGATGTGTTTTCTCCGCCTCAGCCTGGTCCCGCTGCCTTTAGGTCAGTCCCTGGGCAGTCGCAGGCCACGGTCCGCAGGCACCGGTCGAAGTGGTCGCTCACATTTTTGTCACCAACGTGTCGGCACGCACCACCGGACTTGAGTCGAACCTCTCCGTGGTTTCCACGGTGAAGGGGCGCTCCCTGGCGTTCTGAAAGTGGCGTTGAGCCACCGAAAGCATTATCACGCAGCTTCCTGGCGGTGTCTAACATCTTCCACTAATCCTTCCATCAATGCTGTTGACTTCTCTGTAAAGAGCCGTTCTTCTGGGCTGACAGACAGGATCAAGTAATAATATGTGCAATATCATGTTTTATGCATGAAAGAACTTGCTCGGATACTACTTAATCGACCTAATTAGGGCAATTGATGCTGCTGATGAAGCCTCATTCGCTCACTGCGATTGAAGTTAATGAATCTAGGGTTGACATGACAACAACATACATGTACCCATTCCCACCAACATGAGGGGTCAAACATGATTCCAGCCATCCCCGATGCTTTACCTTCTGATTCATGAACCAGGAAGCCGGGAGTTGGGTATATCTCAAAAAGCCTTTTGAACTTGTGTCTCCAACATCACTTTTCATCAATCATCCTGTCCTCGAGTCTTCTTCTTGGACCTTTGGGGAATTGTCGCCATTTGAGACATCCCAACCGTCAAGGCCCCGAAACCTCGGCGCCCGTGAAACGTTCGTCTCCGGTGACGTATCCATTCGACGAAAGGGGCGGGTAGCTGGGGTAGCTGGAAAAAACTGTGACCTTCAAACAACATTGGCGTATTATGCATGATGTTTATCCAGCAAAACCCGGTTTTGGACAATGTACCACAGTGTCAAACAATTGACCTTAAGATTGTTAGGGAATGCCTCAAAACGTCCAATTACTGGAGGACGTGAGCATAGAAACCACCACCTTGGAGGACGGCAACTTCCAGTTCCTGACTTCAATCAAAATCAGTGTCAAACTTGATCATCTGGATTCCAAAGGAAATAATATATATATATATAGTTAATTCTTGTGCCTTCGCAACTACCTTGTCATACCTTGTCAAAGCATGTGCATCCTCTACATGAATCAGTGGTCCCAATGATCACAAAACAATACCAAGCACAGAACTCATTCGAGACCTGCCACTCACAACGGTGGCACGCGCATGTTGTAGCTCACAACGAACTGGTCTTCTTTCGTCACATGAGAAGCGCATGTTCTAATCGATCTGTCTCAGAATGAGGATGGTCTTAACCAGCTCACTGCAAGGGGCTTCCCGAAAACATGCATACAGCATACATACATTTCTGGAGTCACTTCTACATCTTCTACATGTGGCTTTTCATGTTTAACAGAAGACATCAAAATTTGGGATTGACCACCTGGCCACTCAATTCTGAGACACTCAAAGATTTCGCTCCAAAACGGCTTTCATTCTTGTGTGCCGCTTATGCCAATCAGTCCTTCCGCGCGCCCATTTGGACGGGTGCGGATCTGCCGAAGGGGGTCTTTGGGGGGTGGGGTTCCACGTTCCACTTTGAGGCCCTGAGGATCCAAAGAACAAGCAGCATCTTTCGAGCAACAATGAGTCAATTTTTCATCAACATGGTGTTTCCAACCCAGAATGGTCGACCATAATTCCACCGATAAAAGAAATCAACATAAATCAACGACTGAGCGACATGGTATCCGCATCCAAAGTCCGGACTAACATTCATGAACAGCAAAAATATACACAAGGGAGAAAGTGCAGTGCAGCAAAAGTGCAGTGCGGCTTCAGAAACACTTTGTGCATCGCCTTTTGCCAAATGGACCACTGTAGCGAATTTACCCATGAGTAATTACGCATGCATGAGAACAGGTCCAACGTCCAACAAGCCTTCCCTCCATTTCAACTTCCAACTTCCAACCCCCCTCTGACCCGACAAGAAGATCACCCATCAGGAATGGAGGTCCTGCTGTAATGATGCGAGAGCAACTTCCCATGGACCTCCATCACATCGCTGCTCGACCGGAAGTAGCCACAAAGCCCATCCTGGAGTGGCTGTCAAACTGTGTCATTACCCACATCTACCCACCATGGCTCATTTGGTTCCATGAAGATCTGAGATGTCTGAGATCTGCCCAACTGCCACCATCACAATCACTTCCAAGAGTTTCATTGACTTCTGAGTTTATTTGTGCAGTAGAGGATGCGCAATACAACATCGCAAGCAACTGCAGTGATTTGTAGCAGGTGTAGCCAATGCACGCGCACGTGCAAGCAACCCAACATGCACAAACAAACCTATATTTGTTCTTCTTTGGTCCAGACGAATCTACGTTCTGTGCCCGTCCTACTTCTGCCTGGCAAAAATCCTGGATACACCAACATGGGGTTAATGAGAACCATTGGAAGCAACCAAACCAACGCTGTGATTGGCGAAGGCGCCCACCGGACCACAGAAAATGCCGACTCAATCTCAACTGGACCGTCATCAACGTGCATATTAACGTGGACCATCATGGACATCCAAACCGTTGTCAAAACTCAAAAGACCATGTTTAGTGCCTAATCACCAGAGTCAGGTACCAGGTCGAACACCTGACAGGCACGGGCCCAGATCATCCGTCTGCTCAAGTCGATTCACTGATGGAAGCATCATTTTGATGGGCTAGTTTTCACCCAAACGGAAAAACAGTGGAGTTCTTCAAGCTGTTACAGTCATGTATTGTGGTATCATGCGTATGCACGTATACGAGCCTCTAAACTTAGGTAACAAAAAAACACCCCAACTTGGCCAAAGCACCGACATCCAGACCCTTTTTTAAGGCGTCCTTCCTCATGTCCTGAACCCCGTGGAAGGTTCGGAGACTAGACCACCAAAACCATCCAAAACCCCATCAACCCCCCTTGGGATAATCTCCCTGTTTCAATACGTCCCTTTCGACCATAGGCTCCACCATCCCTTGCGACCAAAGGCTCCACTGTGCGTTGTCCACAGAAATCGGTGGCGCTGGGCATCGATCTTTGATGCGCCTCCAGGCGCGGCGCGTCTGCGGGGGAGACCCAGGGTGTTCTGAATGAAGGTGTTCTCTACTTCAAAGACTTTGGATCCTTGCCCAACTGGTTCCTGGGCACATGCATCATGTAGTAACAATGTAGTATGAGATGTCTCATTGGTATCAAATACCTTTTGGGTTGAGGTACCACGTTATGTTTGCCAGACTAAATGGAATTGGCATGATGCCAGGCACATGTTTGCAAAGGGCAAGCCTTACTTCTTATATATTTAAGTGTTCATCTTCTGGTTCGATCCTTTGTTCAACCATTGACATGTGGACTTTCAGTGTGGTTTTCCGGTCGGATTCTCAGTCTTGCTTTTGTTCTGAATCTGCACTGCTTTCCGCATCTTTCGGCACCATTCAGTCCGAGTTCGGCACTGCACAAAAAAAGCAAACAAAGGGGTGAGCCTCATCAGGTGTGGTGATCCATGAGGCACATCATTTGGATCATCATCTTGGTTGGTATAAAGTAGATGATCCAAATGATGTGCTGTTTCGCGCATGTCCCATGTCCCATGTCAACTGCACCCATCTCTCCTCCGGTGATGTGTCGCCGCTGATCCTGTCCGTCCAGGACCAAGGAAACATGGCTGGACTTGCAGCGAATCAGCTAGACTTTAACTGGGTGCTATAATGGAACATAAACAAGTCAAACAGTACGATCATACTAGCGGCACCACAAATGACCCCTATCCGCTAGGCTACCACTACCCACTCCACATGGGCGTTGCTTTCGATGCATTGTCCGATTCCATTCCACCGCTCTTCTAAGCTCAAAGGATCAAAGGACGGTTTCAGCCGGGTCCTTTGAAAGGTTTCCTGCGCCAAAGCAAATCCCAGCTCTGTCTTGGCCAAAGCCTCTGCAGATTCGGCGATCTGATGGGTCACTTCATAGTGGATGAGATTGGACATGTATATAATCATATGTAATCCAGTAAGCATTGGACATTACTGGACGATTTCTTACATGTACAAATATTGGGATGTCCATTCACTGTTCTGGACATCACATTGGGCTGGTTCAGGAACAGTGCCACGTCCGTCCTTGTCTTGGGCTCCACACATCTGAATACTTGACTCAAGATATCTCATGGCGGACAAAGTACAATTAGTACACTGTATCCACTCCAAGTTCACAGAATCGCCGCCAGGTGTGGATTGTCATATTCACTGGCCATGCCTGGTGCATCTAGAGGTTTCGAAACACATCTAGATGGTGATAATTTGTCAGACACATAGCCAAAGAGAAACCAACATATCATATATCATCATCTAGATATCAACGTCTAGATCCATCTAGAGCGTCATCATCTATAGATGCTGATATTTCTGTTGGGTGCTTCCAGTTTTGAGAACCAACATCGCAGTGGAAAACACCTGGCCCAGCCTGGCACGATGGGGGGGAAAACAACCGTTTTTTGTTCGTTATCTTTCCCCGACCTGTCTGGGACTGGCATGGTGACCTATATTGCGGGGTTTTAGGGGTCAATGTATAATATAGGCAGATTATTCCTTGCATGAAGTGTCTGGGTGTTGTTCCCTCACTGACCCCGCCATGTTGCTTGGGGAGAGGCCAATTCCAAGAACCTACTAGAGATGGCCTCTCGCCAAGCCACCAGTCGAGTGCCGTTCAGACTGCTGCGTCGGCGATCCGTCCTCGTTGGGGGATGGGAGTGGCAGCTCTTCCGCTTGCGACTTCAACACATGTTTGGGAGGAAAAGGGAGATCACCTTCAATGATTTTGCTCGTGAATTTTATGTGGTTTCCAGAGTTGGTTTTTGGTGTCTCCCTAATTCAAGACCACCGATATTGCTTGCGTGAATGCCTGGTTGTTGATGCCAATGCTTCGACACCGCTCCCAGGCTCAGGGCCCTTCGTTTCAGTGGTCGCAACCAGCTTGTCACTCACATTGTTTTTTGTTTCCATTATACTAAATGCGAGTGGATCTTAATCAGCGAAGTTTGAAGCTATCACTGACGGTCCATAAGCGGCGTAGCGTCGGAACGGAAACCGCACCTTTTCTAGTCGCTTGATCCTTGAGCCAAAGTACATATGGTACATATATATGTACAAGTTGCACTGTACGTGTCGCTGCACTTCCATTCGCACCCCCCATGTGAACGGCAACAATATGTTCCGATCACACACGAAAATTTAGGGATGTAAGTGCTACAAAAGAAATTGTATGATTTGCCGCGAGACTCATATGAGGCTCATACTACGAAACATGCTGGACTAAAGCGGACTTTTACATATAAAGTGTGCAACTATGGCTCAGAACCTTTGAAAAATCGAATTGAACAAGTGAGACAGTCACGAGGCCTCGCTCAGTATCCACTCAAAAGAGCATCGCTTTGATGTAGATCCGAACTGGTGACTTCCACGTAGATGTCACATCGGCAACTGACTTCACACTTCTCAAAAGATGTAGGTTTCGGTTTGGATACACTTACAGAACGGCAAGTCGGAGAGACAGTCGGTGACTGTCTACCTTCCATTATGCTCATGGTATCAAATCGTCAATCCGATGATTTGCAATGATACACTTACAGCGTTTCAGGTCAGATAAACATCCGGTGAATGATTTCCTCCCTGGTTTGCATGGTATCCTCATAGTTGTTCAAAGAATTCACCACTGGTGATAACCTCTCCATCCACGATGATCCCAGCTGCCTTGGGCATCCCACCGATCATCTTCCCCCCTCTTGGACTTTCCCTTGGACTTGCTCTTTCCCTTCCCCTTTTCAGAAGGTTGAGGTACTTCGCGACGCTCTTGCGTTAGCGCCGGCCTCCAAGATGTTCCAGATTGGCCTCCTCCTTTGGAATGTCCTCGGGATGATGAAGAAGTTGTACCTTCTGCTGCATGTGCGTTGGCGGCAAGATCTTCCTGCAAAGCTTGCTCAAACACATCGGTAGCACTGGATGGTGATTTATCATGTGGTCTGGCTTTTGGAGCAGCCTTCGCCTTGTTCTCCTCTGCTGATGAGGGCCCAAAACTCTTAGGTGCTGTTGAAGGTTTTGGCTCCTCACTTGGTGCTGACGACGGCTTGGCCTCGGTTCTGGGTGTAGATGCTGGCTTTGCCTCAGCTCTTGACGAAGATGCTGCTTTCGCTTCAGACTTAGTCGTTAATGTTGACTTAGCTGTTGCCTTGGCTGCCTGCTTCTTCTTGCCCTGAATCTCCTTGGCCCTATCTCCAAAGCCTAGACGATTGGTAAGAGCTTGAACATGCTTATGTTCTACCACGCTCATCCATCTCTCTGTATGTCCAACGTTGGGGTTTCTGGCCATTGACTCTATGACTTCCTGAGCTTGTGGGGGGCAACCTGATTTCATGTTGATCAATGATCAACAGAATAGACTTCTCCCACTTGCTCTTCATTCTCGAGTACATGATGTCCAGAGGATCGATCACCTTGTGGTAGGGTGATGTAATGTCGGTTCTAAAGTAAGAATATGTCCGACACCCATAAATCGCATGGATGCACTTCTGTACCAATTCAGTCATTGCGCTGGCTTTCTTCGCTTTCAACTCCTCAAGCTGGGCATCAGTCAAGTTGGTGGGGTATTCGAAGTTGCCATAATCCTTCTTGAAGGATTGCGGAGTATGACCAAATGATAGGATCACGAGTGCCACCTTGCAAATGAATTGCTCTCCTCTGAATCGGTGCCAGGCCTCCTCAGTTGTAATATTGTTGTCGTTGGCAAAGATTAACATCATATCATCTGTTGGATCCAATGGTCTCCCATCGTCACCGATTTCTGTGGAATCCCCTGTACCGAACTTGCTTATCACATCCAGTCGCTTCCTTTTCCAATTTGCTTTGAAGTCGGTAAGGCTGGTGCAATAGTAGCTCTTGTACATCAGGGAGATCATGTTCAGCACACATTTGACCACATACCTATCCATCAAACCCGATGCATTCATGGAGACGTCCTGACAGTAGGCTCTCTCTTGATGCGCATAGATTCGAGGTTCCGGTACTCGACAATAGATGGGGAGATCTTCGTTGTCTCTTCCTTCTTCGGGATTGAACTCGGTCGCTCCATGCTGTGCATAGTATCCCGGTTCATCACGATCTGTCGGTCGATTCGCCTCCGGATGTAAGTCGTCGGTGACGTCTTCATCCTCGGGCTCACCATCTTGACGTTTCTTCCCCTCATATTGTTGTGTGCTCCTCTGGATCTCGATGATCACGTTTCGTTCGTCTTCATCTTCTAGATCAGAATCACGACCGTAGTCGATCTCGTCCTCATTGAAAGATGGGGTCTCGACATTGTCACTCTTGAAGTTTTCTGCACCATCAGACGGTTTGGGAGGATCTAGATTGTCCATGTCCTCGTCGTCGTCAGCTGCTTCAGTTTGAGCGATGTCTTCTTCCCAAGCCTTTCTGATCTCGTCCATAGTGGCCTGGTCCAATATATCTTGATCATCATCTTCAGGCTCCTTCTTTTCCTTCTTTTCCTCTTCATCGCCGCTCACAAGATCAACGGGTGAATCGGAAATGACAGTGTTGCGAATACCACACGAGAGTAGCCTGCCTTGACAAGATAGACACACGGACAAAGATGAAGAAGTCAAATGCATACATGATGGACACAAAATATTGCCATCCACGTTGCGATACCCTTCACATGTTCTGGAGATGATTTCGTCCCAAGTTTCCTCACTGATGGAATCCTCGATCAGCTCTCCATTGTCATCGAATCGTACTTCATCGATAAGGGACACGAGCTTTTGGACGTTGTCATCTGTCGCCGAGGCTGACTTCGTGACTTCGTCGGCTCTCTCGAGGATGGTATGCTTCTGAGCAACCCAAAGTCCATGACGTGCCGCTAGAACAACTTGCTCTCCAGTGCTTCCCAGCAGGAGTCTCCTCCATGCCTGAACGTGGTCGTCCCAATACCAAGCACCTCGTACACATCTCCATGGAACTTCTCTAAAAACAACAGTGTAGGAATTCTCCGAAATTCTTCCCCCAAGCTTCCTCAAAGTCATGATTGGAACATAAAGGCAAACGGGCATTCCCACTCTTGGCCATCTTGATCTCAGAATCTTTGATGATCGATCATCCCACGGCGCAAAGTGGTTGAAGAAAACACTACCTCTATATCCCTCCGTTCCACCAGGGACAATTCCTAGTTTCATGATTGACTCAATATTGGAAAGCGATGTCATGTGAAAGCTTCCTCCAAGCTGCATTGCCACATTCTCTGGAATGAGATGTGAAGTCCACACAGGATATATTGACACATCCTCTTCAAGAACAGTCTCTCTTCCAGAATTGTGAGAGGCAACAGCTCGAATTGCACAAGGAACGATCCAACGTTCATGCTTCAGAAATGACGGTGCGTCTGTGCTGTAAAACATGAGGTTTGCCCAGTATTGCCTTTCCTCTTCGAGTGAGACATCCTCCTTTGAGATACGAATGGCGGCAATCTGATAGCGTACTCTGTTCTGCAACTTCTTTGCATGCCACATCGCCTTGCATAAATACTGGTATCGCTCTGTCTTGACATCTTGACGATGCCGATCACCTGAGATAGTACTGATATCGACACCATCGTTGAAGACATGGTCATATTCCAGGATCTCATCGATGTTCACCCATCCACCCTCATTACACTTCGGGGACACATGAGGTTTTCGACCGCGGTGCGATTGAATCCCATTATGCTTTCCCACTCCATGCCTGAGTAGTCTATTGAGTCTATGGCTAACCTCGTTGACCCGCTGACTCTCCTCGCTGAACTTGTCGATGCGAGTTGCTGGGTTCATCTTTGGTGGATCCGTGAAAGTTGCATCTCTCTTCGGTCCATTCCAGTACTCCACATAGAATGTAACTCCATACTGTGGAAT